ATAGGAGCGACAGCTAACAGTGGAAATCCATATGTTTAATAAAGTCAAAGTCATTGCTTGCGTAAATCCGTGGTTTGGGTCAGACCTCGGTTGAATAATTGACCGAAGAGGATGTAACTGGCCTCTCAGAAACCCCAGGAAAAGGTGCAATCTTTTATTGCACCGCTAAACCTATAGAAAATTGGAACATTTTAAGTTTTCCCGCTGATCATGATTTCACAAACTTTTCTCGTGTTCTTCTGCCATCCCACGTGCGTTATTACGCTGATAAACAGATCGAAAGAACGGCATATTGCTTTTCAAAAATATTTGGTAGCAAACTTAATGGAACATTGTATAACAGTCTTACTCGTTCCTTGACTAAACCGAACCACAACAGAACAAAATTAAAACAAAACAAAACAAAACAAAATCACGTGTAATGAACTTGAGGATGTTTAAAACTAAACTTTGAGGCTGTCTGCAATGTCTCTTGTATATTTTTCTCGTCATAAGTAAATATACCGACTTACTTCTAACAAAAACAGTATTAGTTATAAGGCGGCGGCAAGGTTTCCTCTAAAGATGTTGTTATCACAAATGATTTCTACATTACTTTAGATTTTGGAGATAACCGAGGTAATAAATTACATACATTAGATATATATAACTGATTATGGTGCCAATCAAAATATTTATAAATCTAAGTGCGCGTTATCAGTGCAATCAGACCTTGAATGACACCATATATCTTAAAGTGAGTAGTCGAGACAAAGGTTACTTTTTTGTCGGTGACGTTACAACTCTAGGTTATAGTATTAAAATCGAGAAACAGCAGAGATCCCTTTCTATAACTCTAGAGCTCCTCAGTGATTGCCAGGGAGTATTATTCTCCGAGTAATATCGACTGTAATCCTAGGCCACCGGAACCTGAAAACCAAAGGGAGATCAGCAGTAAACCTCAATGAAAACCGCCCCAGTAAGATAACAACTGTTCACCGAAGTATTGTAAGTAAATGACTGTAGGCTTTTTAAGTGTTTACTTTCATTCGTTTCGGTGTATTTTACACATCTCAGGCAGTTTTCAGTTCTTACTACGTGTTGATGTAACTTTAAAAGTCTATAAATCCAAGGTTTCCAAATTTCCCTTTTCGTTTAGGTTAAGGAAGAGTCGCACGTTTCAAAGAGTTATTTTTTTTGGTCGAATATCATGGTGATACGTACTCAAAACATTTATTACATAATACCATTCATTTGACATTCATTACCTAAGGGTTGTTTACTGGTTCTGCTTTACATAATTGTAAGCCGCTTTATCGTAAAATTAAATGGCTCTGTTACATAGTGCCTTCGGTTCAGATACTGATATCGATCCCTCAGACCTAAATCTGTCACTTAGATTTGTTGTGACGTCATTTACTAGGATATGCATGCAAGTTTTGAAAGACGAAATGAACATAACTTCATGAGTTTTAGCAATTGAAAACAATAAGTCTCTAAGTTCTCTACCGTAAAGTTATTTTCCACTCTGGATTTCCTCTCTTGCTCTCAGGTACATCCAGCTCATTTTGTCTCAAAAGTACTCCTCTTCTCCTACACCCAAAAGGTCTATTTTGGGAATGCGATCATAAACGAAATCTTTGATGCTGTCTTTACAAACAAACTCACTCGCAGGTCGATGGCGAATGAAAATGTCCTTAAATAATACAAGACGAAAAGGAAATTTTATTTCAGGTTCGGAAGGCAAAAATTGTGCCTGAATAGTAATGGAAGGATTCTAAGCTTCTTCCCTTAGCAGCTTATTATTCAGCTTTATATAATAAGCTCAGTTATGCACGCATTCTGATTGGTTCTCACCTATGATCTATTGGAGGACAGATGTATAGATGATGCCATCATTAAAACTTTCTTTAGTTCTCTATCATATAAAACAAATAGATAGGGAACTCGAGAATAACAAAAAAAAAAAACTCGCACAGGATTAATTTAGTTGCACCAAAACAAACGTCCGTTTGAAAAAAATCATCAGAATTAGAGATGAAATAGAAGAAGACTTTGCCTTCATCGGAAAGTGATATGATGGACCGGAAAGCTAACATAACACTCTATGTAAGTGATAAAATTTCAAAATTTCTCGATAAAAAATTATTCGAAAGGGAGAGATCTGATAATATAACATCCGAGAAGTTGAAGAGCAGGAGAAAACGTAGTAACATGTTAGTGCGATTTAATGCAACAAAGGAACAAATCATGTTTTATAGCAGTCCACTTTAACACAAAAGGGTGGTTAAGGAAGTACCGACTTTTCACAGGAAGCTCAATATTGTAATGGAGTTTGTCATAATACTAAATAATTGATTCGAGTATAGTAATACAATACAGGCACTTATCTTATGAGAGAACCGCTTGAACAAATAATTTCTGCTATTGAAAGCATTAATGGCAATAGGAGACAGGAAGACTTGAAATTGTCACCGACTGAGTACAAGAAAGATCTATATTCAACGGAAATGTCTTTAAAGAGACGAAGATAATCAGGAACGTGTCAGCCTTAAGCAGGAAGCTCTGATGTTTTCAAGGAACTTTTCACAATTCAGTACATTTTGTTCACTTTGAGTGACATGCAATTGTTATACTTCTGTGCCATTAATGGCATCAGAAAACAGGAAGATGTTGGATATTTAGTTATTACGCAATTTTGCAAAAGACCACCAGGATATTGGTAATGGTAGAAAATTACAGGTGGAATATTCATTTTCAATTTATCATTCGTCTAATAAGCTGGCAACTTTTCACTGAATTTATTCCTTTTATTTTTCGTTTTTAAGAAATGCGTTTCACACATCGTTAGGAACAAAATGAGGAACGAGAAAAAAATATAAATCCAATGTTTCCGTTCTCGCTCTCGATCTGTTTAATATTTTACTTTTTGGAGTTAATGATGAAAAATTATTCAGTTCGCTAATCGCTGCATGTACAATGGATTTAAATTACTCGTTGGAAGAAAACGGCCGTAACATTTCAACATCACCAAGTCCGATTTGCGAACACCGCATAAATTAAAGACTTTTAGAATTCCTCTTTAATAGGAATGACTGGGAATATAATCTCTCGTTAAAGTTCACAATGCCCAAAGCATCGATAACAAAAACCATGTTAGCCTAATCTTCTGCGATGGACCATTTGGAGCTTCTAATTCGGAAATAATTCTTAAAGCCATGAAAGGTCAGTCGAAAAAAAGGAAAAAAAGCGAAAATCTTTAAGCGCCCCCCGGCCACTTTTTCCATTTGAAACCTGAGGCAGCTCAAAGCACAGCACACGATCATGTTAGATCGCCGTTTACATGAAAAAACAATATCTGCATATGCATCCCAAATAACAGGATTTTTTCTATTTATTTTCCCCCTTCACAATAATGAGTTAAAGACAAACCTTAAGCATACGTCGTATTTTGGCGGAGAGGGAATTGAGCTTGGAAAATTAAAGAAACAACTTTTTGCTAAATTCGCTAAAGTTTCTGCATGGAAAAAAATAATTCAGAAGCATAGACGACGCTAATGTTTTTGTCTTTGATACGGGTCGACTTTTTCGGTTTCACAATTTTTGCGATCAGCTGTCTACACTTTTTAGTCTCATTTAAATATGGACGTGAATTAACAGACATTTCGAAATTAACGGTGTAAAAACTGAAAAACAAAAGTGAGAACCTTTTAACAAGTTTCGATAAGAAAAACCGTAATGCTTAAATATTCTACTGACCGAAGATGTCAACAATACCCGTAAATGTAAAAGTGGTTTTTGAAGTGGCAGCTGGAAAATCCGCCTCCGAATCGACCGGCAGTGTTTCGATTCGGAAGCCGTAAAAATTGTACGTTTTGAATGGCAAATGAAATGGACGAACGTCTTCTAAAGTGACTTCAAATTATTAGCTTGAAACAAAGACAATTTAATTTACTTGGTATGAAAACTAGTTAATTTCTGTTTTAGCGCAGGGGAAATTAGTCTTGACACGTTTCCAGGCAGCTTTGAGGTGTTTCGAACATAAAACACGAAAAGTTATTGGCTGCTCCGTAGCCGAAGCAATTAAATTACTCTTCGTCGCTTATTCATTTCCCATCCGGCTGGATGATAGAGGGGTAAACAAAATTAGTTGTGTCAACAACTCGTCATTCCTCTCAGTTTTCTTCATTTTCAGTGAAACATGCCAAGGCCTTCGATAACGTAATAAGGTGTGTGATATCGTATCTTCAACAAATCGCCCACATCTCGTGAGTAACAAATTTTATCTGTTACAATGTGATTGAAAAATGAAATATTGCAAGTGCAGAAAATATGCTTGGTTTTATTGAAAATTTTTCTTTAATTTGCTAATCATCGGTTTGTAGTTGACACTTTTGCATACAATATACCAAGAGAGACATGTTCCTATGCGGTGGATGTGAATTCTTGCATATATCACAGACTGAGATGCTACCAGCCGTCCACTTTTATGTAAATAAACGAACCGATCTTCGATTTCGCTGCAGAAACTTATCCTCAACTTATACTTCTGCTTAAGATAAAAATAATCTCAGTTTCTTAGCATTTTTAGATTCTTCATACTTTTTATTTTAGCTTTTCATTTCTTTTTTAATGAATCGCTCCATAAAAAAAGGAATCTTGTAATCTCTTGAAACAAGTCAATATATCATTTTTTCTACTCAATTCTGAGAAGAGAGAAAATCAAACGTTCGCAGGATCTCTCTTTTTCCACTATAATTACTGATGTTGAATTTTGAAATTGTCCCTGCGATAAAGCCGATAAACCTTCCAGACAGTTGAATGTCTACAAAGGCAGTCTTTCGACAGGCATGCTCTGAACATTTTGGTAATCGCAGACGGTAAGCTTCTGAAAGAAAGCGGAAAGCTTTTTACGAGTACAATGTTTGAGCTAATTTGCAATTCATGAACACGTATAATAATAATTAACAAATAAAGCGAAGCTAAGACAGAATTGAAGCACTCTGCATGCAAACCTTACGGGTAATTGTGAAGGTAAACACATTAACTCACCTGGATATTCCTCGTTTTTTTCTGTGGAATACAAGTCAGTTCCGCACTTGGTCGTATTTCCTAGTCCATGATTTTTATTTTAACGCGACAGTTTCCTCTTCACACTCATTCTTCATCGTAGCCTAAAGGTAAGAATTGAACTCAGTAGCTTAATTAAACAAATAACAGCTCTTTACGCCAACTTCGCCATTGCTGAATATTTTATTTCGCCTTTCTTTAGTTATGAAGATTCTGTTATTAGTTCTCCGTTGCCGGTACATATCAATCACAGTTATAACCTCTATACGCTCAGTATCGGTGATCAACACTGCATGCTCCCACATTAAGTTGATCTCAGGCAAAAACTCGATTAGACTCTTACGAAACATAAAATAATATTGAAATTTTTTCGATATAATTTTGGTCAAAAGACGAAATTTATTATGAGATCCAGTGCATTCGATGTACAGCTGGTGTTGAACCTAGTTTTGCCTCGCTAGGCCACGAGGCAAATGCCAACAGATATAGGAAAGAAAAAAAGTTATCCTCATTTTTTTCATCTTAACATATTTTTCCAAATTTTAACCTTAACTATCATTTTAATTTATTAAAGGCACCCTCGAGATTTATAGCTCAACAGTTATGAGATTAGTTGATCTCAGGCAAAATTCGATCAAACTCTTACGAAACATAGAATAATATTTAAATTATTTTCAATATAATTTTGGTCCAAAGATGATATTCATTATGAGATCCAGTGTATTTAAAACGACCTAGTTTTGCTTTGCTAGGCCGCGAGGCAAATGCCAACAGAGAGAAGAAAGAAATAATTCCTCTGACTTCTTTCAGCTGAATAACTAGCGTGACAAAAAAAATGGATTGGGAGATTAAAAACTGGAATATAAACAAAACAACGCTGATATTTTCATTTATGCAGTTAACTATAAAAAGGTCTTAGTATGTTTACTGGAAAAGAGGGCTACTTGCATAGCAGGTTAAAATCTAAATTCCCTAGTTTCAGTATCCATTTTCCAACTTCCAAAGCGTGGGATCCATAGCGCGTAAGAAGGTCAAATACCGGCAGGTTTAATTTCTGACCATAATGAAGAATTAATTGGTGTGGGACGCACTAAAAAGGCCTTAATCACGATAGCATAATAAGGCTCCATGAGTGTAGTTTTTATGTCAGCATAAGGATGATCACCAATTGACGTTTGGAAGTTAATCTAAATGCTTTATCGGTAGAATTTAATTCCGAGCACGATTGATCAACCGCTCGATCGAACGAAAGTTAGCTGCAAACGCGTACGTGATTGTAAAGAGGAGTGTAGGAGGGTGAGGTAGGGGTACTCATTTAATTTCTTCAATCTAAATCCAAATGAAATATTAAACTCACAAGAACCCAGTGCTACTGAGTGGCTTCTCACATTTGAGGCAATAAAAAGGCATCAGGACAAAACGAACTCTTGTCCAAAAATAACAGTCTTTACTCTACTACATTTTTTCAAAACCTCTCTTTGACATTTTCTGATCTGATGAGCGATCTTGGAGAGAAACCCTACTGAGTTCTTTTGTACGTGTTGCGCATACTCCAGAAGAAAACACGAAACAGATATGATTGAAAGTGAATAATTAAAGTAGGAACAGGACATTTGAAAAATTGACTTTCCAAGCGTTAGCGTGAGTGTTTCCTTTGTGTTATCTTGAACTTGGTACTTAACAAAACACCTGCTTTTCCTTTTAGCTACATATGTCAATGGTGGTATTGATCGATGTAAAACTTTAAATATACTTCTCCTGCCTTACCTTCATAAATATTTAATCCCGTGCCTCCAGTCTACCTGTTGACCGATCAGATATCAATGGCAAGAAACCAATCAGGTATCTGATATCAGACAATTTCTTCTCAATAGTTTATTGATGCTGATTGCCGTTTGGGAAATCAATAAACGATTAAAACACTATTGTATCTGTACATCGTCTGATTCAGACTTACTAAAACGTATGCAGAGCTGGATAGTCAATAGTTGTGTATTTCCTACCATTCATAGATAAGAGAACAATAGACTCACGTGCTCCCCCCCAGAATATTCAACGTGTCTCTGTTGTCGTTTGCAGCCATTTCTTACATCCAAGTTTCTCAGTTCCCGGGAAGCTTCTGTAATAAATTTACTTGAAAATCATCATCCTTATGTTTTATTTCATATTGCTATCGATTGCTTTCTCAAACAATAGTGATCATATACTGATCAATCATCTATTGATAAATACATTTTCTCAAACACTGTTATGTGATTTGTTTCATGCCATATAAAATAGCCATTGTTAATTCAGCGGTGTTGCTTCTAATCGTCCGCATTCTGTGCTGTAAGTAATCCTATCCTCGCCGAAATTTTACAAACGGCGCCATCACTCTCTAATTTCTTTCACCAGACTGCCTAAAATCATTTAATTTAACATACATTCCTTGTACTCTGTCATAATTTATAGTGAAAAAGTGTTTTCAAAGAGCTCCAATGTCGGTGAATGACTTTCTTATGATCGTTTATGACAATTAATGACTGGATATGATGCGTAGTGACAACAAACGATGTTTTGTGGCGATGGTTCCTACCAAGTTGTGGTAAAGTATCCTAAAAAATTCATAAGAACTGTGAATGATGTCTCTTAAAGAAATCGGCTTCGTCTCATCTCATGACGGAGCCTTGGTGCGGGGAATGAGGTCTAATGACGTCGAACGACTCCTGATGAAGGCGAATGATGCCTTATGGCGGTTAATGATTTCTAATGGCGGAAATTGATTTGGGTTAAGTAGGCGTTTTATCCTCGCATTGATTGTGCTTGCCTTTTTACTTCATATGGCATGGCGTTAACTAGTTATTCAACACTTTTCAGCGGTATACCATAGATTGACCCTCGCTACAAACGCTCGCCAAACGACTAATTTGTACTGACAGTGAAAATACCTGTAACTCGAGAGATATTCCATAGCATACATTTGAACTAGTATTTGTAACCCTCCACGAATAACTCACGGGCACAGTAAAAAGACGTGCTTGACAATAGGTAGTCGATGAATTGACACTGCGGCTTCTAAGCGGCTTGTCTAATGGCACGATTGATTTAGATTTTTCCTTTGTATTTTTCAGGAAACATTCCCTTAGGACTGAACAACAATGCCAAGCATGAACCTTACCACCAAATCGTCGCACAGTATCTCAGCCGATAACTCATCAACCTCTGATTACAGCTTGGGGCTCCCAGTTGACATACCTCCAATAACTCTGGGAATATTAATCCTCTTGGCCAACGGCGTCGTCATAGTTTTAGTAGCAAGGAAACAAAGATTAAGAAGTTTAACAAACTTGTTGTTGTGCAGCCTGGCTTTATCAGACCTCCTAACCGGGGTGATCAGTATACCATTGTTTCTGATGTGCAACTTATTACATAAGCCTGGAATATGTATTGCTGAGGATCAAATGCTGCGATTTACGTCGATTTCAACCGTTTGCCACCTCGTGGCTGTTAGCGTAGACAGGTAAACATGAACTTGCTGCTACTACTTCTTTCGTTGTTTTCGTTTCGTTTTGTTTTGTTTTATAAAATAGCAATGAGGTTAATTCTTAAAATAACAGTGACTTTAACTGTGAAGAGCCACCTTAACTATTAAGTCTGATTCTATAACTGTTAGGTATCTCGCCATTATTCATCCTTTGAGGTACAAGGCGATTTTTACTCACTCAAGATGCATTTCTGTCATTCTGAGTATCTGGTTGTTATCAGCTACCATGGCTTTGGTCCAGCTAAGTTGGATGAACCCAGTAGATCACGACCCACATCAGGAACTCACCCCTGACGTAATTAAGAAGGAGAATATTTATGACGTCACATGCGTCCTTGCTTTCACTGTTGTTCCGTTAGTCTGTATGGTCTTCGTCTATGCAAGAATCTTCAATGAAGTCTCGCGACAGATCGAATTCCTCCGAAAGCAAACTGCGCCTGATAGCCAGGATTCTCGAAAGCTGAAATACGTCGAGAGGAAAGTTGTGACAACTTTTGCAGTAATGTTATTGGTCTATGCCGTTTGCTGGTTGCCGTACTTCGTCCTTCGACTGTATCGTCTGGATCATATAAGAGTTATTATCATGTACGTCATCCTGTGGCTGCGATTCCTGTCGTCCTTTCTAAACCCATGTTTATACATCTTTGGAAAGAAGGATTTCCGATCGGCTCTGAAGTGGTCAGGGAGGAAAGATAAACGTTACCATTATAAAGACATGATTCCGCTCAAACGTGTGGGGGCTCCAGTATAAAACTCAATGCAAGGACATTCAAAGCGTGGAATCTGTAAATCTGTCCCAGAGGAGGCAACAGACGTAGATACAACTAAGGCGTCGGCTGCAATGTGTTAATTCCGCTTCAGTTATACTTTCAGTTTAAGATGGAATCAGAAATTTTACCTTGTTCTAAAACTTCAAATCTGTGAGCTATAGCTGACGGAATTAATATCTCACCAGTTGCGAGGCCGTTTTTATCAACAAGACTAATATCTACAAGAATTAAACTTTTTGAGTACAATTAACAATCAAGTTGTTTGCTAGTTTACTTGAATTGTATGCGAACGTAAGACCCCCACTGGAAAATGAAACCCATACCTTAGCCGAATACATAAAGAATAATTCATGGGCGCACGTATATGTAGAATTTCTCTCCGAGCGTTTATTTAATTCGATACCTTGCGTTGAACACGAGAAGAGAAATTTCATATCTGCAAGCAACCATGTAGTTTATTATATAAACAGCATAGGCCTTTGCTGATAAGAAAAGCCGACTTTATTAACGGTATACGCTTTGTCATTCTTTTATCATCCTGACAAAGTGATGCGAAAAGCGAGTGACGTGTCAGCGGCAGATTGGCGGTATCAAACACAGGTATTGCAATTTTACACGAGTGCTTTTACCGATTTTCTCAGTGCTTGAAATCCTAGTAAAAATCCACAGTTTCTATAATAGAAAATGTAAAATGTTTCAGCGGGAGAAACGTTGAGGCAATTATCTACATTGCATTATTTATGTTCTTTATTTGTTAAGATAGTAGAATTTGATTCAACTCTACAGTTACTTGACAAAAAAATCTAGATGGTTTTTACATTCTTTTGATCATAAGTTCTCCAACCTGAAGTGTGGAGTCTAGAGAAAGGCCAAGTAAAAGCCCGAAACTTCTTGATATATATCAGTTATTGAATCATTAACAATACAGCCACTGGCCGTGAAGAGTATTCTATGTTATCCTATGTTATGCTGTACAAGTCGTGCTGTAGAGGTATCTTCTTCCACGTTGCAATATTTTTAAACTTGAAAGCGATCACACAGGCTTCCGTGGCTCACAAAGAAAAAACTCTAAGCTATTCTAGCTATCTTTTAATGAGATCTCTGGCTATTAAAAACAAATCACAGACTCGAAATATTTGAACTGAGGAATGCTAGACTCCCACATAAAAATCTGCTTTATGAACGAGACTTCGAAGGTTATCGCGGACAAGATTTCGTGATAGGAGAAAAAGTTTGCGAGAACCACGATTTTTCAGCGGGCCATTCGCCACCCATGTGTTTGAGTGAGATGCAATAATTCTGAAACAGGACCTATTAGTAAATCATTCTTTAATTCATGTATGGACCATTTATTTTCCTCCCTTTTCATGCAGCAGTTTTGATCTATCGTCTACTTATATTACAAAGATACACAATCTAGTGCATTGAATTGACGAGGAAAGACAAAAACATCAGTTAGAGGGTGAAACCGTTGTGTGACTCATATCAATTTTTTTAAACATATTTACACATTCATATATGGCAACTAGTGGTGAGAATCACGTTTCAGATTCAAGCTTAAAAAGGCATTCATCAGATAACTGAAGTTTCCTTTCTTCTGCCAATTTCCGTGTAACCTCCACCTCTCCTACTAAAGAAGTCGTCGGCGTTTACAGTACTTCTTAAAGCCGTTGATTTCGTAGACGAGGAATTTCGTTGCAGCTTCATTGGTAGCACATGTTCAAGCAGAGCTTTTCGAAAATCTTTTTTGCCAAATATGTACATACAAGGGTTTAAAAGCGACACAAGGTACCTCAACCAAACAACAGCCAGTATAAAAGTGTCTGGCAACGCCGACAAATCGAATCGGCGAAGCATAAAATAAGGCAGCCAACAGATAATGTAAACGAACATCATGGCGGCGAAGATTGCAATGGCTCTCCACTCATGGTGGTTCCTAGATCTCTTCCTAGTGTTTGGTAAGCTGGGCGTATTTTCTCGCCGGATGTTACGACTTTGACGAATTATCTCAAAGATTATTCTCGCATAGGTAAAGCACATGATCATCAAAGGAATTAAAAAAAATAGAATGAGAAACAGTATGTCATAGACGAGTTCTGTTCTTTGGAAGGAGTCCGTCAGGTCTTCGTCATGTGGATCGTGGTTGAATGGATCGAGCCAAGTTAATTGCACCAATGCAGTGACGGCCGATGATGTCCAGATAAAGATGATAACTATGGCACACCTGCGGAGTGTTACCAGTGACGTGTACCGCAAAGGGTGTACAATTGCCAGATATCTAAGAAAGAAAGTCGTTTTCCTTAATTAAGGTTTTATCATTCCTATCAGTTTATCGTGTTCATCTATTATCATTATTATTATCATTATCATCCTTTCTTTATACGTTTCTGACATGGTTACTTAACAATTAGAACAATTAATGAAAAATTTGTCTCGGTCTCAATTTTTTTCCGCTCAATTATATGAGTGCTCAAGCGGCACACGTTTGAAGAAATAGTGGTTTTTCTTCTGCAAAATTGGAATATTTGCGACCGGCGCGCAACTCCAGCACTAGTCCAGCTGAGGGTTGCTTTTACTTGTTTGGTTTTTTCGATTTCTGTTTCTGATCTCAACCTCTTTCACATATTATTTGGAGAGAACGTACATTTAGCTTCCTGAGAAAAGAAACTACAGCTATGAGAGACTCAGAATAAAAGCATGGTATGGTTTTCAATATGGTTGTAATTCTTCATTTTTCCAAACCAAGCTTTTCTACAAATAAAGATTTTGATTACAAAATCTTTACTATATTTCCATTACCTGTCAATCACAACGGACATCAGATGAGACACAATAGAGGCTGAGATGAACCGAGACAATTGCTCTTCAGTGAGACAAACTGCTAATCTACGGACGATGTTACACGTGATAAACAGTGGCACAGAGACCAAGCCAGTAAGGAGGTCGGATAAAGCCAGGCTACACAGCAGTAGATTGGTGATGGATCTCAAGTATGTTTTCTTCGCCACCATTATCAAAGCTAAACTGTTAATGATGACTATAAATACCGCCAACGCAATCGCTGGAACGTCTACAACAGGTTGGAAACGACCTTCACTCATGTCATCGAACTCGTCATCTACATGAATAAAAAAATAAAATAAAGTAATGATTATAAATCGGAACTGTAAACAACCAAGCAGTGGCTCTTCTTGTCTGCTGATATCAAGTAAAGTTGGACTTTGGGGAGTGGATTTTTATGGAGAGGAAAACTCGAGAACCTGGAGCAATACATGCAGGATGAAGGGGGAAAAAAACAACAAAATTAACCCATAGCAGGTTAGGTAATCGAGTCCAAACGCATGTATACTCCTCAAACAAATCTGTGGGAAGATTTGATGCCATTTGAACTAAATTTGTTTCCTTTTGAGATTTGAACTGAGCTTTCTCGCCTATATGTACAATTTATCATACACTGAATATTAGTCTACGTCTGACCAATTCATTAATTATAATGTTGGCAAATCGGCAGTTATAGAGAGTCTGAAAAAATGTAAAATCTTAGTAATTAAATGGTTCTCACATACGAGACGAGTATTAAAAAGCATCAGAAACTAATTGTATTTGTGTCTATAGGCATACTTGACTGAATGATAAGCAACCTGAGGTGTCCATGAATAAGTTTGCTTAGCTGAGACAACAGAGTAATTTTAATATTTAACAGAGAAAACCGTGAATTTTAAGGCCTATTTGGAAGAGAAAATTTATGCTAATTTACCTTAACTGTCTGCTTAATATGTTCAGCCCAAAAGCAATTAAGAGTTGAAATTGAGATACTGTACTAACAATACCGACTTCCCAAGCTTTGCGATTGTGCGAATTCGGAAACATAACCATGGGCAGCGTTTATTACAACAGGTTAATCACAACACTCTTCGTTTGCAGAAGCAACAGAAACAAAAAGATCTCAAAAATTTAAAACTCTGCCATGTGTACCGATAAGAAATGCAGTGTGTTGATCGGGAGCTCTTTCCAGAGCTCATAGAGTCCCCCGTCAACCCTGCTTTAAACATGTCTCGGCCGTTGAAAGGTAGTTTAAACCCGCTATTCTATCTTCGCATCAACGGAGAAACTCTTTGGGTATGGCGGCGACTAAAAAATCCTGACGAAGAGTTTAATAAAAATAGGGATAAGTAATCGAGTCGCTTAGAAAATTCAACCCGTTCCATAATAAATACATCGTTTCTCCAAGTGTTCTTAATTCTACTTTTGAGTCTGAAATTTATCAGTGATGGTTGAAGTCAAGTAGAAATATCCTGTACTCGAAAAAGGTGAAAAAATAATGAGGATAATCATGAAGCTTAAATGACGAAAATATGTCACAGAAATGAGTAATGGTACGATTTAAGACTGAAAAACAAGGCTATCCATAGTGCATTTTCGTTCAAACTTATAATGCAGGGCCGGTCAATGCAAAAAACAGGGGCTAAGTGTACTTCTTAACCATTTTCTTGTTATTGTTATGCAATGAGACGTTAGCTAAACTTCAAAACAGATTTTTGCCTCGCAATTTTCATAATTACCTTGTAATTGGTTAATGGTAACTTTGTAGCAAAGAAAATTATGCATTTAGGTGGGTTATAACTGATGAGGCGAAGAGTTTAATGGTATCGTTGTACAGCGAATTTTTTTTTTCAATTCGCATTAAAATTCGAGTTACATTAGTTAATTATTCATTTGATGGATATCAAAACAAACTTGCTTTATTATTAACTGAGCTCTGTGGTCGGTTTGGATCACTCTGTGATAGCTTATTACGTAGTAAATATTTCATTGGATTCAATCCTTCAAGAAATTTTCCTCCATATATTTCTTAATAAGTAAATTACAAAGTTAATCTTATTCCTATGACTGACTCGGCGTTGTTTACCTTGAGTTGCTTTAGAGCGACATCGAAATTGCCGTTAAATTATGGGGTAGTTAAATAATCGATTTCTGAGGGAGCGAAACATCGAAGAGGCGAAAATTAACCAAAACAATACGAGAACGCCTAAAAATATATTGAAAAAATATGAAAAAGACGAACTCAAAAAAATTAATTAAGATGATCAGACTGCGATAAAATAGCTCATTCAAGGGACCGAGGCAAATTGAATTTTTTTTTTTTTTTTTGGGACATCCTCATCTTAAACAGACAATTTAGCGATGCCTGTCAAAGGTCTGTCTTGCTCAAATCTCTCTTAGCATAATTTAGGCATAAGAGAACAAAGCAACATATTACCCTCGTAGAATTCATTGTTTTCCTTACCTGAATTTGAGAAGTTATTCAGCGCCAAACCAGTGGAAACATTGTTGAACCGAGAGTCGTTCTGTTCAGTTGACGTCTGACTCATGTTGGCTCTGTTTAATGAAGGTGAAACTGTCCGTTGAGACTCAACAAGCTAATCGGAATTTAAAAACATAAAATCCAATTTGATACTTTCACCTAATTTTGTGTCATCCAGGAATAAATCTTTTTAAACGTTCTGTATCGGACAGCGACGTCGTGATTTGTTGCAAAAACGCGGAGTGTTCTAGACGCTTTTGGAAAACTTACGCCAGACTCTATAACCTACAATTTCAGAAAAAAGACCCCAACCCATTCTTTTAAGTTTATACAGCGGGGCTTTCAGAGGGTAAATAGTTCGCATAAAGAAAACACACAATGCAAATAAAACCTGGAACAAATTGCTTCGACAGGTGTATCTTTTGTAATTATCTCCCTTTCAGTCGGGCTTTAAAAAAGTTGTATATTCAGGTCATTCAGACGTACTGTAAACCAATGAAATAACTATTTCGGAACCCATCTTCATTAATAACTCATGAGATGTAGACTTCAGAGTCAAGTTCAATTAAACATTCTATAAGCTGTTTTTCAATTAGGAGAAAGTCGCATAATACATCGTTTTCTCTTTAGCGAAACTTTATAATAACATAACTTGGTTTATGCAGTGGTTGCCAGGACGATTTGTCGTCCGAACGATTTTGCTGAATGTCTTAATAAAAGAGTTTTAATTGAATTGGAGAAGAGAAAAAATTATTAAGTCATCCCTCGTTATTAGTGTCCATGAAATTTTTTTTTTTTTTGTGCTTCTGAAACATGTAAAGATTATTTCCGAACGTAGTTGTGGTTATTTTCGAAGCTATCTGGGTTTTGTCTACCTGCCTCCTCCAATTCAAACATTTCAATCGTTATCTTTTCCCGACATTGCTGTATTTAAACGCAATATTAAAATTTACGGGTGCAAAATGTAAACTTTGTAGATTTCAATTAAGATATGGATATTTGACATAAAATTTAAAAAAAAATTATTCGTAATAGTAGAAAAAATGCACGCGAAATGGGCCTCTTTATAAAAAAAAAAAAAAAGAAATTCTGAAACAAGGGTTGTAGCAACATTACGGACTTTATCCAGGTAGGAGCTGGCACATACAGCAAATCATTCCGTGATATGAATTCTTTATCAGATGCACCCTTCAAAAACATTCTACGTGTAATGCACCTTGTGTAAAAAGCGTTTACAGGGGGCTGTCAATCATGTGTCGGATCTCTGAGGAAGTAGTCGCGATATTTCATGGGTTCGAAAGGTCACGTCCCGTTATCAAAGTGAATAACGAATTATTTATCAGCTCGTTTCTTTTAGAAGTCCACAAAGCAATAGAACGTGCAAGCAGGTTTACTCATAAATTTACATGTAACTATGATTACTAATTTTTAATACTTCAGTTCCTGACCATCCTCGCTACCAATTTTTTTTTCTTATTAAAATTTCTAGGTGTAAAGATTTTAAAAGAAGCCAAATTATCATTGATGGAGTGTTAAGTGTTACTTATAGAGTCCACTATCCGTCTCTTTTAATTCACAAGTTGGAAAGACTCACAATGAAAAAGTGACAAACACGTTTGGTTGATGTTATGTAAGGCTGATTTTTCATTAAATCGTCTCGCGTTGGTAATTTGAGAAAACTGTGTCCATATTTTACACAAATATTGGTTGAACAACATAAATAACTCATGCATGAAAACACTGAAAGGTAATTTGTGCGGTGAAGATTTCAATGCCTTTTTAGAAATATGGCATTGCCTACAGCGAGGTGATAATTCATTTCTGGGACCCCATTACCTGGAAATAGTCCTGCGTATTTGCGGTGCTTTCCACTCTATATTGGTCAAAACTTCGAAATAGCAATCCGAAGGTCTGAGGTTCGATTCCTCATGCGGACTCAGTATTTTTTTTGGCCCCAAGCTCGTAACAAGACGAAAGACGAAAAAAAATAACACGTTTTAGCAGGAGCCCATTAGTGAGCTCCTGCTTTTATTTATTTATTTCATCATCATGAAACACTCTATCGTATATCCTCAGCGCAAGAAGTAATGTGTATTGGCTTCCGATAAGTAATGAACTCTTTTTGAGGATATAACATTCGCGTATGCATTTAAAAACGCGCTTTTATTTATTTATCTGTCAGAAGGAAACAAACGATCACGAAGCTTTGAAAATATAGTCATGATAATCTAAATTTACGATATGTACATAGGATGTTGAAAGCAAACTGTAATTTTTTATCAGATGCATTTGCCTCACTGTCGTAAGTGTTTGTGGTATTATCGTCAAGTTATCTAATTCTGGACGATAAAAGTTCAAACCAGATACGACGGCCACCTCTCAACTTTGTTTTAAAAAATTTACCTCAAAACTTTTAGTCAAGACCGGTTTAGTGCATTAAAAAGAAATTGATTGATCAATTTCAACAAAATCTAAGATTCTCGAAAAGCTTCAGACTGACCTATTTTGGAACGCTTCTGTATCTGATTCATACCAGAGTTAGATATTGCTCTAGTTCGAATTCAGCAGTCAATTGCAGACAAAGTTTTGGTACAATTGATCTTTCTTTTACTTACAACGCGGGCTGTCACTTCATAGAGCTTAGAGTCGATCGGGCGTGAATGGCAACTCTCGAAGACTGGCCAAAATTATTCCCTACACAAACTGGGCTGATTTCTGTTTATCATGGCGCCCTTTGAAAATTCAGCTCGAATGTGTTTCTAGGATCGAAATTGACCAAAATATCGACATAGGTATAATTTCTTACTTCTGTGAATTCACAGAAAGGAAAGGAGATCGACATAAAATCTTTTTTTTTTTTTTTGCTCTGAACGAAAGCTGCTAGTTCTTCGAGTCAGTTTATAAAAGATATTTCCAAAATAGGCGTGAAAGGAAATTCTGCAAGACTGAAATATTAAGATGTGACAAATAAAATATCCATTTTCTCTCTCAGTTCCCAAGACTTGCCCGGCTTGATTTGTCTCGATAAATTACCTCAGAACGTTTTGATGTTATTACTCACATATTTCCTAGTTGCTGAGTGTTTTAAGGTTCTTCATTCATATCGCATCATTGTCAAGTTCGAAATACGGTTTCGTTCGGTTCAATATCATAATATTACTCAGATAGGTTAATATTTGTATGATTATATAAATAAAACATTTCTTTAAGTCGAACCTGTTATTTACATCTGGATTAAGGAAGCGAACATAACAAAACAAACACGGAGAAAAGAAAACACCGTGGGAAAGATTGCCAAATGGCGACAGATGTCAAAAGTCTACACATGCTCAGATATAGATCTTGGCGAGGTTCTCTTCCATCATGTAATGTTCTGCGACGAAGAAAATAGGGATCTCTCGAGCAAGATTTATCGCGTTTCCTTCGGTGGAATTTCCGACTAAGATTTGCTAGACCGTTAAACATATTTGTGCCCTTCCTTGTGAATGTTGATAAAAAAAATTCATAGGACCAAATTGGCCGGAAATAAAGGAAGAAAACACAAAATTGCAAATAGCAAGAATATTGCCTTTGTAACCCCTTTATTTTTCGGCTTTTAAATGACCGGCAAGAAAAATTTCACAAATTGTGAAGATTTTGAGAGATTTCATTGAAGAAAACCAAAGGCAAAGCCAAATTATTATTGGCGAGAGCCTCACTTCGTAGAGCCTTAGCTTTCGAACGAATATTGTTTTGATAATAGCCTGAACCTAGCTCATTGCCTTTTGGTGGCTTTTAGTGACCTTCAAAAGCGAAAACATAAAAATTTTCAAAAAAAAACATTACGCTGGCGCGCTCGCAAACATTGAACAAAACCCTAGAGAGCCTCTTTAGGTAGTCAGATAGAATTTTGTTAGGATGAAAACCAATCTGTCTTACGTTTATGCGGTGTCAAAAACGCGGTGATCCATCTGTAACGGTTAAAAACATTCGATTTTTCTATAATATGTGGCTATATTTAAATCATAAAAGACAGAAAACCGAATACTAATTCACCAATGCAACGTTATCAGATTTATAAGACTTACATGTGGTTATCCCTTTTTAAAATAAGTCTGCAATAGTCAAACAAGACGGAGAAACACTTTTCACTTTGGTTATGGCATCCATACATCAGACGCGCGCGGTTATTTTCCCACACATTTTTAAGACTTGAATAATGATTTATCAGAATCGTTTTCGCTTTGATATACAGCTATTACTTGGCGTTAAGATGTAAAGTGCGTCATTAGAAGAACTCCGAGAAAATTCATTCATGTCTATTGGCCCAAGACTCGATTCACATTTTTTTTTTGCGTTGAAACAAATTGCACCCCTTTGTTCGCGACCACTCTAAATTGAAATGATTTCTCCATCTAGCATCTGTTCATTTTTGGATTAAGAGCAAATGGGAAAGATTTTAAGCCCGTAAACCTATATAAGCTAAAAGAAATAATAATACTACAGGTTGTAAATTATCAAGCGATTGTCTTTTAGTCATTGTATCCTCTTGTCAGATCATAATCAAACGTGAAAAAGGATTGACGATGTTTGAAACCATTTCCTTAAACTTTTCGTTGATGAAAAAGTTACTTGATAATGATTTGCTGATGATCCAATGAAATGTTTTTCTTCTAAGATGTTTTGGAAAAAAAAACAAAAATACGGCAATTTAGTCTTTTTTTTCCAGTTTCATAACATAACGGGACAAAATAAGTTAATGTTTTTTCTTTTTTTTTAGATGAATACTACCTTATGTGACACTGACATTTCACAAGATGTCATTGTTATGGGCAGAGAGCCATGTTCCATGTGATAGATGTAGCTTTGTGTAAACTGTAACTGGCATAGATTATCTTGAACCATTGTCATTGAAGCCAGGAGGTCCCGTTGTCCCATTGGTTTGCGGTTTCAGGAGACGAGATAATCTCCTGGCGTGGCGCAAGTTGTTTCCGAACTTTTATGAGTTAAAATCATGCATATGATTTTGGAAGGAATACAAACACTTTGAGCGAATTTATAGAGTATATAGATTTGACCGATATTCGTCAAATTTCGCCAAAATTTTCCAGGAATAATGACAAACTAAATAGTGTCGGGATATTTTGATATGTTTAATATTGATCGCGTGTTTACCATTTACGCAACACGCCTCGCCCGGCACAATTTCGTTGATTAATACAGCCATTTTGCTCGTGTTGCGGTATCCAATACCCGATAAATTCAATAGAAGAACCTTCGGTCGTTTCAAGCCTTACCAACTTCCTTAAAAGAGAAGTCGCTTAAATTATATTTATGTCGTAATCTGCAGTCATTAAGCTTTCTCCTGATGTACAGTTTGCTAGGGATTTTAGTGAAACTAGCGCACATACGAATTTTTTTCCCGAAGGATACCCGCGAAGGTGGAAAGTAACCTTAAAAATTAACTTTGTACGTCACCATCTATACATCTCCCAGACATGTGCATCCAAATGATTTTGCGTTTGGCTTGATGATGAAAAAAATTTACTATCATACTCCCAGCTATTTCTACCTTAAGATATGACAGTTAATATATTTTCGCTAGAGTAAAAGATAGAGCGGTTTACATCGAAGGGAGAGGATGCCAGCGGTTTCCCGTGATTCCCCCTTCAACATAAAAATTCAGGGAATAGGAGGCGAGCCTGTTGTTCAGTGGAAAGCCAAAAACCTGCTCAAATATTTCCAAAAATCCTAGCAGATTTGCTACCAATATTTCTTTATATTTTTAGTTATTTCAATTTAAAAAGGCCCTATTTTTCGTTTTTCACAGGCGTTGTTAACATCGTTCATGAATGAGTGACATACTAAGATACTTAAGTCTGAGGCAACAGGACACATGGTTAATTTTAATAAAGTCCTGCCCAACGTCCTTTTAGTCAATTACCCGTTATAATAATAGATAAACATCGCAATGTGAAACGATGTCAAGTGACAGGTTATGTGTTAGCTTTTTATGAAATCGTTAACTTTTTCGTACTGATATGAGATCAAGTTTAACCTATACCGTATTTTGCTTAAAAACTGCTCAGAAAGGCAACTTTTCCCAAAGTTGTTACGGAACCGCAAAAAGTTGCTCCAAATGCCAAAAGTTGCTAAAAAGTTGCCGAGTACAATCGGAAAGGGCCTAAAGGAAGGTGGGGGGGGGGGGGGTCAGTCGTCGCCGACAGAGTATAAAGGGGGAATGTGGAAAAATTAACTGCCAATTACGGGTAGCTGCAAGAATATTTAAGAGCCTTAGAGGGGGATCAGGTAATTTTTATTATGACTCAACCAAAATCCTCCCCTCACCCCATCCCAGGGGATAAATATTGACCGGACCTTAACATGAGGGACTACGAAGACATCCGAAATTTAAAGACAAAGTAATGGAGTGCACAAGTATTTTTTGTATCATGGTCGAAGGAGTTATGTATGCTTATTTATCTTTAAATACATTTACCTTTTATTGATATCATTATAAATAGTCAGGAGCCCATTACTTGGTTAAATGGGCTCCTGAAATAGTTCATTTGATTGTTAAGTTAAGTTTTACCCACTTATTATTAAGTTTTTTACAAATGAGTCTTGGGCCCGGATAGAGGAATAATCTCCCCACACACTTTGACATAAATAAATTTATATATTGATTAACCTTTTTGAACCCTGGCATCAGTTTGTACATTCTTCATAATCTTCTTTGTACATTTCTTATGATATTTAAAAGGAGAGCTTGTTTATCAATCAAGAGCGTCTTGAATGAGTGGTCATTTCTTATATTCTCATAACCTTAATGTTTGATTCAGCAGTGATGTGATATCGAGAGATTAGATGCAAGAAACTCTTATGATTCAAGGGTTAATTGAATGTTTGCAGAGCCGCTTCAAACAAGACGATATCGAGATATCGAGATATCGAGAGATCAGATGCAAGAAACTCTTATGATTCAAGGGTTAATTGAATGTTTGCAGAGCCGCTTCAAACAAGACGATATCGAGATATCGAGAGATTAGATGCGAGAAACTCTTATGATTCAAAGGTTAATTGAATGTTTGCAGAGCTGCTACAAACAAGACGTGCAAACATTTGTAACGTAATTTCCTTTGGTACCTATACTCTCATAAATATAGTATTGAGGAAAAGTTGTTTAAAAATGAAGAACTTCCTTAGTTAATTATCGTCTCCTTCATTGTCACAAGCGGTAATGATACTGAAAGAAGAAAGTGACATGCTTCCAACTCTTAAAGATGGAAGGGGGAGTTATTATATTTTGTAAAGTGCATGCAACATGCACGGTCATCGACTATATTATTAGTAATGTCAATGAATGAGTACCCTTTTGACACGAAATCCTTCTTGAAAAGAATTATCAAAAACGCCCATATGAGGCTAATAACTGCAGGTTATCCCTTATAAATATAATATTCTTATAATATACGATGTATGAAGCTAGGTATTATTAAATTTAAAATATGCAATATCTACAGAACACACATTATTGACATAATAATAAAAATATTAATAAGAATGATGGCTGTGAAAATCAGTTCGTGGCTGATACGAAGCGACGGTTTTGGGTTTTGCGTTTTTTTTTTTTTTTTTGTTTTTTTTTTCTTACCTTTAAGAATTTTCTGGCAAGCACTCTAAACACTACACTCTTAGTCTCGTTTTAGACAAAGCACACATCATACCAGCCAAGAACTACTCCATAAGAGTACTTAACAACTGGAATCACACGGTGATAATAAAAATACATAAATAATTTATCACAACCTTGATTACTGTCTCAGCACAGTGCTAACTGGGCTTATGTTACGTTATAACTACGTAGCTCAGATATGGTGCATATGGGGGGCAAACATGTTCTCCATATACAAGGAGGAGTGGAGATACTGAACTTGGAAACAATAAAACAAAAACTCAAGGTAAACAACAACAATGCTATAACGTGTGTTGGAGACTCCTTAGCCTCACTTATACTTTATCTGTTTGTTTGTTTGTTTGTATCACTAATTCTGAATGGATAGGTTGGTGGGAGGTTCCCATTTGAACGTTGAACGTTGTGCGTGATCGCTCCGAAACCTCTGACGAAAAAACATCTCTCTGGTTTCCTAACCTACTGGCTAATTTTTTTTTCACTGGCTAATGCATTGGAATTGTGAGAGAAATTAATTTTTAATCATTTCTGTGAAAAGTAAATCAGTCAGCGGTAACGTTGGTTATCGAAAATGTTTGTTAGAAAGAGGAAACCCACCAATAGAATGCACAATTTTCTGATATTTATATCTCCTTTACTTTCTAATGATTCCATCTCTGGTCCAACGAGCCGTTTCTATTTGACAAAAAGGGAATAAATTCAGAGAATGTTAGAAACTGGTTGATTGCTTTTGGTCATAAATAGGCTCGATTACCAGCTGCTGTTCGGGAAATGAACCTGTGCTCACCCATTTCTCAGGAGGACGGAACTTGAAAAATGTGGGAAATTGTGCCAAGGTTTCAAAGTGAACACAGTAAGCTTTCCAAATCAGTCTTTCCCGTATTTAGTTTTTGCAACTTTCTACCATCGGAAATAGAATGATTTCGCATCACAATGATATCAGTATGGGATGTTTTATGAGCCCATCTACACCATAGTTGTCTTCAGAGATGAATGATACGAGGAGGAGTGAAACCGCGTAAACAAACCCCTCCTTGAGAGACTTAGAGCCTGGCGAAAGTCTCTTTTACCAAAAATATACATACAAGGATTGAAAAAAGACGTGAAAAACCTCAGATATACGAAAATGTACTCTGACGAGAGTGGAAGTTCAAATAACTTCTTTCCCAAGTTGTGCTGCAATCGAGTGGTAAAAAATGGCAGCCAACAAATGATGAAGACTAACAACATGATGGAGAAAATAGCTACTGCCTTCCATTCGTGGTGAGTCCTTTTCTTTGTCTCAGTCCATCCGGGAGAATTATATTGTTTGATATTGCGGTATTGACGCAATATTTCAATAAAGATGTTGATATACACGATGGTCATGACCACGAATGGAATCGCAACATAAAGTACAAGATTAGTGACGTCGTAACGGATCTCATGCTTAGTAAGGTCTTCGTCTTCTTCATCGACGTCATCGCGTCCGTAGTTAATCCAAGCAAGCTGTATCAGCGATGAAAATATTGAAGAACTCCATATTAAGACTGAAGTTACAATTACTCTGTACTTTGTGACCAGAGCGTTGTAACGAAGTGCGTGTTTGATGCCTAGGTAGCGGTCCATTGTAATGGCAAGAAGGTGCATCACCGTGGAAACTGATGTAAATCTCATAAACAGCTGCGAAGCCACACAAATCTTGGTTTTCCAGGTGACATCACAGCCAACGTGAAGTGGTATGCTCAGTGACCCTGTCAATAGATCTGACAGGGCCAGGCTACATAGCAAAAAGTTCATGCTTGATTGGAGGTTGGGTCGTGTCTTTACCAGGTACAAAACCAATCCATTTAATCCAATGATGACAATGGCGACAGCAATTGGAGGAATGTGATAACGTGCATCAAAAACTCCTGCAAAATCCTCTTCATAGTCATCGTCTGTTTCATTAGAGAAATTTTGTCTCGCCATTGTAATTTGTTTTATCTGTTAAATCAGAAATTGAAAATTAGTGATTAGTGGTATTCACAACGCCTACGACGTTTTCAAGGGTTAAACATTTCACTCCCAAGATCTCATTTGTAATACTCCCTACTGTCTGCCATACAATTCTTACAATGTTATGTCGGTGAATTTGGTATTGGATCAACTAATAATCCTCCAATTCCTCTCCTTTCTCAGCCATTTGACTCAAGATTTCGAGGCTCTTTATGATACCAGAATGAAGCTGCGTCGGTGGGAGAGTATAACAGGATTATTAAGTATTATCAACTGAGTTGATAACGCAAATTGGCCACACCGTTAAGAGTTTCAAAGCTGACGTTTCGAGCGTTACCCTTAGCTTGGTTTTTGAAGGTTTTTCGTCGATTTCTTAGGCTGGCAGACCACAAGTTGTTTCTAAATTCTTTCTAATATATAAAACTTGATAGAGCCAGAACAAAAATGCACATAAAAAACATGCATTCCGCAGTCAACATGTCTATCACATCGTTTGCAAGCTACATCAGTTTGGTGAAACGTGTGTATCAGACATTGCTAGAGGTGTGGCCGTGAGATATTCGAAAATGAACGAAAAAGTCGAGATATAAGCCTCTTAAGCAGAGTGCAATCTGAGTTTACCAAAAATCATCGAGAGAAAAGTCTGTCGAGTGAATGAAGATTTAGATATATGAAAATTCACATATATTCACATATATTCACATATATTCCCAGTTGGCATTAGCAGTGTTTCACGATCTCGCATTCTACAACAGCTTCATAGATTTCGAACTTAAGATGTTATTACTTTTATACCAAATGAAACGACTTATTTCGAACAAATGATCGAGCATCTACTTTTCTTATTTTAAGGTTTTCTCAAATTGTATCCTTCATATTGTCAATTCAACAAATAGATTCAATATTGCCCCTCGTCATTTCATTAATAGATCACAAAATGTACTGTGCGTAAAAACAAAAAAAAAATGGTACTGACATTCTACCACATTTTGACGTATTATGTGATTTATTACTGTACAGAACTACGATAACAGTTTGTTTCATGCGATAAAAAAGCACAATGGTCTTAATTGTGACGCCATCTATGCGTCTGTCCTCCAATAGTTCATAAGTAAGAACTAATTAGAATTTATATATAACTCAGTAAATTATAGAAACCATTATTTTGACATTGTTTTGGATCACGAACTAACCCACTAATGTTTATTAAGTTAGATTTGCGTCATCAACCTTTTTTAAATGACATAATGCACTTTTTGGAGAAGAAAACTTCTTATCTAGTTGCTGTAAAAGAGAAACTTATGATCTTTTGATTGTGAGTGACTTTCGCTAAGGTTGTCAAGATGTCGATCGTTACTATCGACAATAGTCCTCCTCGGTATTTTACTTTCACCTGGACGAGCAGATACTGAAGATCAAATTGAAATTCGTTCTGATCCTCAGCTCTGGTGATTACTTCCGCAAAGGTTGTCGAAACGTCAGTCGTTACACCCCAAAGAGTCCATCTCAGGACTGCCAGACGATTAGACCACGCGATTAAATGTTTGCTCCTTTCGAGGGCAATTTGCTTCATTAAAATTTCTGTTACATGGCCTTCTAAATTTTTCTTGCAATCTTTCCTTATCAAGTCTACAAAAAATTGTAATTTGTCTCCATGTTAAAAAAAATCAAAATCTAGAATGTCACCCTTTGATGAAGAGCATCCGTAAAGGAAACAGTTCCGCTCTTCTCCTTAACAGTGCCACGTTGTTCAGGAAAAGTTATAAGAGCATTGAAAATAAGGCAAATAAATAGCTAAATAAGAAATGACAAACATTTGTGTAACTTCGATTATATGAACTGACTGTTGAGAAGATCAAAAAAAAAGGAAAAGCAGAAATTCATTGATAAGGTATAAGCAGTTTAAGTAAACAGATAGAAAGAAAAATATACTGCTTTTGCTTTCTCCCTTCAAAATGAAAGTCGAAAGTCTTAAAAATTACAAAAAGAGCAAGGCCTACGATTTAATTATGATTATCATAAAATATTGCAGTGTTGAAAAATGGATGAAATGGAAAGCCGAAGCACCAGTCCATCTTCTCTTTCATTTGCACAAATTTTCTAAAGGTTAAAGAAACACTTTTCAACTTACCAAGACGATCACCGATAGAAATTCAAGAAATTAGAGATGAGAATTTAAATTTCTGTGTTAGACACTGAACGGTAGTACAGTTAAGTAAACTGTTGTCCAGAATCTGGTTACAAAGAGTCGTCTGATGTGCTTGACGCTTCGCTTTTTCCCGTTTTACGCTTTTTAACGAGGAGCGAAATGTTTCTCTGTAAGTAAACTGTGACAGTGTTAAACTTAAAAGCTAAAAGCTAGCTCGTAATTTAATGACAAACACGAAAACACGATTCTTCATTTGCATATTGATTGAATTGTTCTGAATTTGCCACAAACCATTGCTCCTGAGGCAATACAGCAAATCCTCAGCCATTTGCTTAGAACTGATAACAATAGAATTGCTAGAAAAAGAGTTGGAAAGAAATAAGATTCTGCATTTAAGCTAAGGGGCTAATTTCTACTACAGCTTAAATCTACCTTTTATTAACTATCGGTGTCCTTTTCAAGGCCAAATATGGAAACTGAACGAGTTCCTATCCAATAGTATTGACTCTTTCAAATGAGAATTAAGAGAGTGTAGTGAAGATGGGAGATCAGACTAATGCCGCTCAAAAAAAACCTTTTAAATATAAAGCTAGCCCACTCCAGCCTTTCAAACCAGTCATTATGGCTTCATATCCATATAAATAAGGTCGTTTGCGGTGGCCGCTCAATATTGGATTCACTCTTTGTTTAATTCAATGGCAGACTCTTGAGCTGAAAATGATTCTGCTGGTTTTTATGCTATCAAATTTGAAACCTATCTCAATTCTTTATAAAAGGTGTATCGGGCATTTAATTCATTCCGTGTGCAAATAAACTTTCGTGAGATGAAGAACCAGCTGTGTAAGCTGAATATGTTTTGTTTTTGTTCAGATTCATTTTCCGTTAATTCAACTTGACAATCAACTCCACTTTACCCGAATCTCGTTTACATTCATTGTTTTCTGACTTCTGGAAATTCAGTCTTTCAAGATTACCGACAAATATTAGATGTGTTTACCACTTCTACTGGCAGTTATGAAGTCACAAAACAAAAGGTAGTAGGTTATCTGCTGTCAAACATTTTATCGTTATGATATCTTACCACAAGAGGAATAAAGAACTTTCGGTTCTTGATGATTTCAAAGCTTTGCTATCAATTGCTTTCAACTCCATCAAAATTTGTGTCCAACGAAATCGCAATTGCGTCAAGTACATTTGAAAAACATCAGCCGTAAGTTACCAAATGGTAGGATTGCTTTGGGATTCAACTTTCATGTGGTTAGTTGTTTTGTCTCGCTTTTTTCTAAACAGATCCAACATCCTGCAGAGAGTGGTTTCATGATATGCAAATTCCAATCACCCTTCGATAGCATAGACACGTTTCTCGATTTTGCCAAAATATTAACTTCAAGATCAGAGGAAACATTTTAATTGCCACCTTTTTCCCTCTAATCAAACCTATGTTGCGTTTTTATATTTCTTTTTTTTTCCTCAAGGTTGCCTATCAAAACCCGTTTATGCAAGACCTCTATTTCTAATGGCATTGTTTTTCACCTTATGAAAAAGCATTTTTGGTTCTTCAAAAAACAGAATTTCATTGAGGCAAACTACTCTCTAATGATGCTTTCTCATGTGCAGGCATGCCAAATAATGAAGACTGAAAGCCTCAATACGTCTGATTAATTTTTTCGAATGCTTTACTGTAGATAATCTCTACCCACAAGTATTTATATTAACAAGAGCGATCTTTTGCGTCCGCGAAAGTTTAGACAATAAAAAAGTTCTCTCTTCAGCCAGTTAGGCCTTCCAATGCTAAAATATCTTTCTTTGTTGCTGTTTTCGTGAATCATCTATTTTCTGGTAAGAATCTATATTCCTGCATATTAAAACGGATACCAATAATCAGTCATGTAAACAAAGCGATTACCTCGCTCTTTAAATTTCGTCTGAAACCAAAAATCTCCATATTAAAATTAATTTTCTATAAGTCCTCTTTAGCTAAAATAACCGAACACGATCGTAGCATGTTCATCCGTTTTAGATGTAAACAAATTTTGAAATGGACACCAAACAACCTCTTAAATCTCTCTTAGTTCAGTTCATCTTTCAACGTCTGCTTAAAAATCCTGTATATACACTGCTATATAATGATATTTTATAGTAAGTTAGTGAAGACAATTGGAGTCATCGTCTGAGGTGTGTGAAGACCGTAATGCATTGTCTTAAAAAATAGAACCAGTGATGAGATGGTGAATTTTAAATTTTTTTTTTTAAACTTCAGGCTAAATTTTCCACATTGAAAAATACAATTGTAGCAGAGCTTCGTATTCAAACTATAATCCTGCTTGGGATTTATATCACACCTATTGGGTACTTTTTGATGATTTCATATTGTGTCACCGGCTTGACTTTCCCCATGCTACTGGTTTTAAAATTGTACAGTAAGTTGCATGCTCATCGCACATCATTCACTCAGGTATGTTTCAAACATGCGTATATTTGGTTTAGAGTTGTGGTAGTTTGATTTATAAACACTTTCTGCGACATGCATACCTCTTATTACCTTTTTTAACAATGGTTATTGTTTGCATTTGAAAATGGGTCTAGGGAATCTTCATCAAAAGCCTCATTTATATTTGCAACTTTTCCTCGACCACTGCACGCGTCAACTTTTAGCAAATAAGAACTTATCGATGATACTTGACAGGAAGTAATTGTTAAAGAAGAGAGTCCCCCACAGGCTCTTTAAATTTTTCTTGAGAAGTGTCCATCACAAGCCATTTACACCAACTCTATATGTGAAAAACTTTGTAATTAACAATACTTCTATGTCAACGAAGTCTCCCACTAAAAACTGATAAATCAACTCTTCATTTGGAGAGGGAAAATTGTAGAGAGAAAGCTTATCATATTTTTCCATCTACATCGCAGAAAAAGGCATGTCGGGGACGTTTTTCTACTGTAAATGCGGCTTGAACCAGTCACTTCTATATAGGAAGTGGTTGAGAACCCTTATGCTAAAGTCTATGTCACCATAGCAACGGATCACATGCTATAAATACAGCTGCGGCAAGGCGAGGGCGAGATGTGACACGTACAACCGGCTGGGAAATCTATACTACAAATTATCCAACCGGCCTCAATTCTTAAAACAAAAAGATATCCCCCACTGACGTGATATCTCCACGATAGCCGCAGTAAATTGTTCATGAAACCAATTTCGTGAACGTCAGGTACAGATTTCATACAATACGAAGATCTTCTACCTAAAATACAATCCTGACTCCATGAAAATTGCATTTCGTTCGATTGGAACAGAAGACTGAAATGAGTTAATGATTTGCTTTCGGTCAACTTGAGAACGGAAAAGTTTTGATCATAAAGGACAAACTTACCGCCCTACGATTGAATGAACCTTTGCTTCTTCTGTCTCGGTCCTAATGGGTCTTTCTTCCAATTGAACCAGCACTTAGCCTGAATACATCTTTATGCAAATCTTTGTAATTGTTTGACAGGGCTAACATGGGTTCCATTTACACCTTTGTAACTGACGACACACTTTTAATTTTCAACAAAGTGTGAGAGTTTATTGAAAAAGACAAGCAACAGCTGATTCGAAATGATGCAGAAATTCTCGAGTTTTATATGTATTTACGCTATTAGATCTGTCGCCCTCGCGTCTCCTGCCGGGCATGTTTGAGAAACTGACGTTATTAATTGCGTTATATTCTACAAGGATTGTTGAATTGCGGACATCTTTCAATTACATCAAATCATATGCGGCTGCCGAAGGTCTGAATCACACAATTGTGGGAAAAAAACAGCTTTTTTTTAATACAGCTTGGTCAAAATACATCAAAGCGACATATGTTTATATCAGCCTCGTTTGTCTTTTCTTCATCTTCACAAACGTCAGAAGTAAAGTGATTTATTTGCAGCAAAATTTAGTGATCTGACGTTCCCTTCAATTAAAAGGATTGTGCAATAAAAACAAGAAAAGTTTTGAAATGACCTGGACGCAGACAAATTGCGCTCCAACCGATAAAAGTGACAGATAATATCGGTAATAAATCTTTATAAGTGGGGAAGGATAGATTTTTTGTCTCGGCAGCCAATCTTAAGAAAAACAGAACCAGATTTGCAAATGGCTACCGCGAAAGAGGGAAAAATAAGTCAGCATGATTCTGTAACAATTTTTTGTCGCTTTTCAATCAAAGCTTGTTGTCACTGACTTTAAATTAGCCATTAAAATCGTTTACCAGGAGAGAATTTTCCTAGATTCGAGGAGAAAGAGGTGGAAATTGAATAGATACGAATCTGACCATTTCTGTTATCATAAAAGAAAAAACCGAACTGATTATTCAGCAATAAATATTTTACAGTGTTTGACAGTACTTCGGCAAGCTAAGAGCCTCGCAAACACGCAAAAAGCTGATTCAAATAAAACGAATGCAAAGTCTTTCCTGTTATTGTCAACTTTAAAACAAACATTTGCAGGGCCTAATCGAAATTTTCAACCTGTAGTCCAAATAAAAGACCAATTGCAGAACACACTATCAATTTGAATTAATCTAAAACGTTTTATGCCGTTTGTATGGCTACACATTGTACTCAGAGCCTTGTGAAGTGCTATCAACCACATCGAACTTATTGCGTGCCTAATGGTAAATTTTAAGGGTAAATTATCATAGATCTGAGGACAAAATATGTTGTAGCCGTCTCGGTCAGTTAAATCGAATGCTGTAAACGTTACCGGTACTTCACGGCGTCTTTTTTGAGCCAAAATGTGCAAGACTCCGATAACACAATACCAGATTGCGGCATTTCTTGGCTTCTGTTGCAAATTAAATGACCACAGGTACCGAATTCACCAAAAAGCCTAGTACGACTCAGAAAAGGTTGAAGTAGTTCGATTGTTATATTATGCGAAACGTCGTATATAAAATGTTCCAAATTAAATTAAGCTACTACTGCACCTGTCTGGCTCACCAAATTTAAAAAATCGTTGAGACAAATCCGATATTCACTGCATAGTCTGCTTTAATTCTTCTCGAAATTTCCTAATAACTGAGTCCATCAAAAGGATATATATCAAGTACAATAATAAAAAAACGTTAAGACAACTCATTAATGGACTAAAAACTTGTGTTATAGTACAAGTCTGTTTTAGATGATTAATTTTTCCACCGATGCCTAATTTTCGCTCTAAGTTAATTAATTACATGTACGTTTTGCGGTACGAAGTATGTGCTTACTCCTCCGCGGACGTCAACATAAAAATAACGTGACCCTGAAAATACTCTGAAGTGAGAACTCTTTGGAAACAGCTATTTCCTTGAGCGGAAAACTAAAATTAATAAATCACGGATGCGCGACGGATGCAGCAGAGCGGTTTTTCCGGCGGTAAGGAAATCTGAGATTTACGTTTCAAAAATTATTACAAAAACACATTATATTGCGTAAACAAAACGAAGACAGCAGCACGTCTCATTGTTTTTGCTTTTCCTCTTGAAACAACAAAAACAAAAAATCGAATTTATATCAAATTTTTGAACAAAGTCTACCTGTATACCCGGGGAATCTTGTGATATCCGTAGGGACTAATATCTAAGGGAGGCTTTTGTGTAGAATGATAACACTTGCGTTAAGAACAAAGGCCGGATACCGGTGCAACATTTCTTTATTTCACTGCAAAATGAAAATATTTTAAAAATTTTGACTTAAGCAGTGACTGTGACTGATGATAAAACAGAACGGACTTCAATCAAAGTTCTTTTTTTGGTGGTTAATCAATCGTGGGTTTTCCACTTTTTGACGACACTTGATTTACATCGTGTATTCGCCCACAGTTCTTTCTCGCCCCTTTCTTTTACGACGGTTTTTTATATTGACCCATACATTCGAGGAGTGAGAGCTCCATACATTCGGGAGAGGGGGGGGTTCTTACAAGTTGAAATTCAAGGTAAAGCACCGTTAGATAATAAAAATCCGTTGCTTTATTTTCGTTAATTATCTCCTTCCTTTGTCCACCCACTTTTTGATTATTATTCTCTTTTCTTATCTTCTTTTCTTTCTGTGTTTTTCTTTTGTTATTAATTTTGCTCACTCATTCGTTTATTATTTATAAACCCCGCCGTAAAACATGTTAAATTTCCTGAAAGGTTCAATACAAGATTCTCGTAGTATAAGCTCGATTTCAAAAACGATGCCATGTAAAAGGCTTTAACAGTGAAAGATGGGACCCAACGACTTTTCGGATAGACATGTACATAATAACTACAATCACCAGCGCGTGGTAAATGATATAGAAGCCATCTATGCTTTCCTTAAAGAAAAGAATTATCATAAACAAAACAAGATTTGCTATGGATAATGAAAAAAGTGAAGCACTGATTAAGTAACTATGCAAACATTTCCCATAAAGCCGTTGGGATTCGTAGTTCATGGATCATGCGATTTAGTTGTCAAAGTTTTTTCAATCGAGTGTATAACCTCCAAATGAATTTTTTTCTTTTTAAGGCGTGTTCATTCTTGATACTGATAACAGAGTTGCCCCCTAAGGGAAAGGTCACGAAAAATCTAATTTTACATTTATTGGTTTCCGTGATTTCAACGCGTTTTGAGGTTTAGCTGTCGATACAATACAATAAACAACATCTGTTCGATGGGGGAAATCGCGAACATAAACGGAAAATAACGCTGGAGCACACCGTTGTGGTGACAAAAGATATTTGAATCCTTTTGGCTTGTAGAAAATTTTACCTCAAAAATAAGCTCGGCCACTCACCACCTTCTATTGCCAGCTTATCAAAATATTAATTCTATCAAGTTTGAAAATATGCTTATTAAATCTCAGGAATACGTAGAAAAGGAATTGCATCACTGAGTCGAATTTTCCAAGAAAACCATATTTTCGCTCGGCGAAATTGCAGCGTCTGGGATCCGGCGAAAATACATTTTTTAATTTGCTTATTCAAGGCAAAGAAAAGTCTAATTATCAAAAAAGTCTAGTGTGGTTTTTATTTCAGTATGCGGTCGAAAACCCAGTTCTAAGATAATAGAGACAAAAGTTTCCCTGTACAGACTACTACATGATTCCTCCATGGACGTTTTTTCGAATTTCTGTTGAACTTAGAAGAAATCTAATTTCGAGTTTAAGGTGAATTATTTGTTAAGCTGATAGTCGAGAGAACTCTTTTCCGAAAACTGCTAACTTCCGTTCATAAACTATGCAATGATATAACTAGAAAAACATATCGAATGAAGGTAGCTGGCTAGTCATTAAAACATTTGTTTGCCGTCAAAACCTTTTTTTGGACAGAGTGGAGACTCAAGTCGAGGCTGAGTAATAAAAACACCAAACGTAAAGGGTTAAAATAAAGTAAGTCGGTGCTGTTGAAGGATGACAAGGATAATCACAGCTCGTAATTGCATAATCAATTTTAGGGCGATTTTTTTCTTTAGTTGTGGGAGGTGAGAGGAAGCTTCATTTACGAGAAGAATACTTTCTACAGTGAAACATAGCAGATAAAAGTTGAACAGCACGCGGATCTTTTGTCGCCCTGTTTTGCGGTTATCTTAAACCCAAACCGTGTCATTGAGAGACAGGAAATAGTAGGATATTTTCCTCATGGCTGAAGATTACAAGCTACGCCAGTAATCCTTCATTAAGTAATAGCAGATGACATGTGGCTTATGCGTTAGAAGTAATTCACGTCCGACAAGCCCCGTGAAAAAAACTGAAAATGTTTTACCTTCTTTCATCTTCGGTCTGAAAACTAATTCTGCTGTTTTTAACCCTTAAGTCCCAAAGAGTGACTAGCATCTAATTGCTCCTTATATAATTACCACTAAATCAAAATTAAGGTGATGAGAATGAACGAAATAATCTCTAACTGAAGAAGCCCTTGATTGTTAAACAAGTTCTCGTTTTAGTAATCGCTGGAAATTTTTAGAGAGCAGTGTGGAGATTACGCATACTAGGGTGAGAAAAGGGGAATTAAACTGCTGTGAGAGAATTCGCCTCTCACCGGTGAGGCCTCGGTTAGATTCCTCGATCTTTTCCTTCTCCTTCCATTAAAACTAACATGTCAAATTCCAAATAGGTCTCGTAGCACGAATGCCTGTGAAAGAGTTCAAACTCTTATTGGCAAAACGTGGATAATCAAATTACCAAACAGTTTTTAATGTACCAATACCGCGTACTTCTTTGTCTGCCATATATCAACATCTAAGTACTACAATAGCCGCAAATCTTTTCAATTATCGTTAAGTGTCTCAGTGTTAAAAAGTGTGTTAAAGTGATCTCTTCTAGGAGTCAAAGGTTAAGAATACCTCTTGTCTATCTAAGACAATTGACGCATGAATAAGAAAATTCGTCTGAATGAAGCTTGATTTTCGATCGGTAGCAACAGCCATGACTGCAGCGGTATTACACAAACTTAGAGCTAAACTTAAAAGGGGTTTCCCATGAAATTTTATATGTGTAGGGGTGCGTTTGGGTAGAGAGTAAATACTGGAACAAAAACCACCACCGAATTCAGTCGGTTACGAGGACGGAAAATACATGCGTTTTTTTTTTTCTTTTTTTTTTTTTGGCGATAATTTTAGGGTGAATGAATTTCAAATGAAACCAAGATGGTGTAATTTTAGATTGGCCACGAGCCGGATCCCGCAAGCTTGTGGCGATATTTAATGCAAACCGGTAGGGGAACTTTTAAAAGCCACAAATCGGAATTCACATACGCGGGGTTTGCCGACAAGCATTATCTGTTTCCTGCATTCTCCTCAACCAACATGGCTGGCTCGTTGAGCACGTCACTGCAATTTTCATAATTATTATCATTACCATCATCCAATTCTAAAAGCGTTTATACATTTTTTTTTTTTGTTCTTGCCTATTTTGTAAGAGCTGGCTCCTCGCCCTCTTGAATAGCTTTCAAGGGGATGACCTGGTGACTCAAACTGAAAGATTGGTCAATTAAAAATGATTAATACCCCAGTCTATAACGAAATGGCTTCCTCATTACTCGTCAGATTCAGGAAAGGATGACATGTTGCTATTCTAGTTGCCTTCGTTACTGATAATTATATACACAATTTAAAAGTTAAAAAGTTGAAAACAAGCGGCCGAGCCAAGAGCGCACACAGCAGGACGGCGGAACTCCGCTGCTCGATTTAATTTCGCAGCTCCACTGCCTTTAACAGTCATCGAGCGCGCGATAAATCGATGGTTAAGAAGGCTGTTATGTGGAGTCTATAGAATTAAGGGGTCTTTCTGTGATCAGAAGTAGCGTATGAAAGGGTATGGGTTAAGACTAATGAGCGAAGCATTCCAGGAGGAAATTTGTGAAACCCTCCTCACCCGCCATAAGTTACCATAAATATATGTTATGAATCGAAATTCCATGTAACTTTAAATTTTACAACACTTCACTTGTTCAAACATTTATCCACGAGGAGCCACATACATTTCGAAAGGTTTTCTTAACAATAATTTGCAGATGTGATCTTAAGATATCAAAGACATCCAGACCCATTTAATAACGATTTGCGAAGGAAATGTAGAAAACACGCAAGAATATGAAGCCGCTTCAGCAGCAGCAGATATGCAGGAAGCATGTTCTCCATGTTTTTCATTCCCATGGCGATCTATCTCAGTCATAAATAGTTCAAATCTAATCAATTGTTTGTTCAGTCGATCTGAGGCAAGAATATTTACCAACACAAATAAACCAAAGCATCATTACTGGCTTAATAGTACACGAAAGTCGCCGGCGGGCCTCAGCTAAGAAACAACCAAATTTAAATGCGTTCGCAAGCTGTTTTGCTTCAATTAGCAAAACGATCTGCAAGAATTAGCGCCTTTAATGGGGGCGGTCACATTTTGGGGATGAACAGTGATGACAGAGAGAGAAAACAACTAAAACACTCTATATTTTCTGATACCGTCGGCGGGAGGATTAGGGGAGGGGGGGGGTGAGTTCTGACCTTATTTAAATCAAACATGTACCATTTTTCTGCATTATTTTTCAGATATGGCTTCTAAAAACCGCACCTGTTTGTCTTGATCTTAGGCAAAATCAAGCCAGGAGCCCATAACTTATTTAAGTCATGCTTAGAATCAGTGCCTAAGTCAATAACTGGTTAACGTTCAACCAAAAATTCCGTTTGGCTGCAATATTTTTCGGAGATTCACCTTTCTCTGATATTTATTTAAACATGTTCGTTCATGCACCATCATTGGTTCCTTGGATCTACACTCGTTTTCAGACCGAAACGGCTCCAAAACCATAACTTTTGGGGCGGTACACATCTATATGGGTTATACCGAAAAGTTCCCCCCTGGAAATACAAAACGAAGATCGTAATCCCTTTATCTGCGATTATGATATTAGGGTCAGTGCACCCATTCCGCTTAATACCGAAAGATGTTACGTGACAATGAAACAATAATTGAAACGAGGAAATTTCGCAATAATTTATCGCCAGCTTGAATTTACATCAAGCTAGTCCACTACTTCCGAAATTCTAAAAGAAACCATTTTTTCCGTTGTTCTTTATTCATTTTAAGTGGAAATGGAATTGGAATTTTAACTGAAATGATGACAATTGAAATTAAATTCTGCTCTTCTTGGAGGCATGCGTGTGTTGCACAAGGCTAATTCAAAAAAAGCTTGGATGAAACTTCAACCCAGATTGTACTTGCAGATAACTCGATTACGAAAATATCATGGACACTAATTTCCTATGCTGAGGACGAAAATAGATTCGAAATGACCCTTCATAATGTAGCACTGATTGCAATCAAAATATCTGCTTATCCTGACCAGTAACAATTCTGGGCCATAATTAGGGATAACATCTCTGCGCCGTTCAATAAGCCGGATAAGACAGGATTTTACTAATTGTTATGCTCGCGATATGTCACCTTCCTTTGAAATGAAACAAGGATAAAGCGCTCTATTGTCCGCTTTCCAAATACTGAGACAAAATCAATCAGTTTGGGCCAATATCGCAGCTCTGCGCTTTAATTTGCTCATATAACTGATGAGCTTAAACATCTCACAGACAATTATTTTTATCATCAGAGCGGCGCAGTTCCTATTCCCCATGGTCGTGGCTTTTGAGATAACAGATTAACAAACGAGCGGTCGCAGCGAGTGTCATGGTGATCGAAGAAAATTGAAGGCGTCGATCAGCTCAGCTGCATTTCTCCCAAGGCTATAACGTTGCTGCCAGGCGTTTTATGCTAAGTGGTAAAAAAGGCTCAAAGATATTTTCCAAAAACTTCAGATTAGCGTCTTCGCCTTTTTAAAGATTTCAATCAGCTACATCCGCTCAGTAAACGCAAATCAAGAGCACACGCAACACAGGTCTGTTGGTGCGATCTGGTAAACTTGTGATTTCTTCTCTAACAGGAATTTCATCGAAATCTACAGAACGGTAAGCAGAAAAAACATAATTCGTAACCTCATATCATATTGTTAGGTGACACAGAATTATAAATGAGCCTCTTTTTTTTTCCTGCCACCGCGGCTTACTTGAGCAAACCTGTGTTACTTGTCCCTGTTCTGAGGAGATAAAAAAGTTTGCGTCTTGAAAAATTCAGCCTTAATTTTTTGTGTTTGTTATTTACAATCCATGTTCATCCGGACCATCTGCTCCATTTTATCATCTCACCATCCCTGTTGTCTCTTAGTTTGTCTGTCTCGTGTCGTCTATCTTCCTATCAAAATGATATTTCGGGCCTTCCTTAAACATTGAAGATGTTTTCATGTTTGCCAAAAGTGACCTGAATACTGATGTAGAGCTGCTTTGAAGGCTAACCCAGGCTTATTTTTCTCAGTCGAAATCTTTAACCAAACTGAGCCTCAGAAGAATATAATCCCACAATAAGATAGAGATGTTATCCCATAATTTTTTTTTAGAGAGGAAGCGCTAGTGAGCACGTTTATTATCCGTACGGTGACACCAAAAGAAACTTTTAAGAAATAACCACAGCGCCAAATTTTGTTCCTTTTTTGCAAATCGTTTTGAGATGCAGCCAACTACTTCGATGTACTAGTGGTTATCTGCTCATAAAAAAAAAAGGAAGAAGTGTTCTGTCGCACTTTGTAACAATCGTCGCACGTTGTGATAACTTTCGTTCTCAGTTGATAACAAAATTGTCGCACTTTGTGAAAACTATTGTTTCGTTTTGCGACAAAAAGACTGTCTCAATTTGTAATAATCGTCGTACCTTATAATACCTGTCGTATTTTGTAATGCCTGTCGTTTTTTACAATGCCTGCCGTACTTTGTAAATAAACAATTTGACAACTATTATACTTTGTAACAGCACCTTCGCACCTGTCGCATCATCTTCATTCTAGCTAATTTCAACGTCACTATCACCACCTTTATCATCATCATTATTATTATTATTATCATCATTATTATTGTTATTACTTTTATCATCATCATCATCATCATCATTATTATTATTATTATTATTATTATTGCCACTTTTATCGTTATTATCGACAGCAATGACAGTTATCATTGCGTCTTCTTGAGCGGGGAACGGGAAATGGAAATCTGGAAATTTGAGATGTGGAGAATAGATTGTTTTTTATTTCTTTCCTAATTACGTATTCTTTCCTATATTTTCGCACTCTAATGGCATCATCGTTTCCTAACAAAGGTTCATATCGTCACAGAGCTGTTTTGGCTTAAACAAAGAAGAATGTGAGCAAAAAAGCCGTATAACAAATGAACACTATTTTCAGTTTGTTTATCTTCCTAAGGGAAAAAATGCAAATACGCCTATAAGCAGCGATGAGGTACAAAACTGTTGCAATCGTTAATTAAAGTACATACCGATTTCATCTTGTGTGTTGTGATTCTGAAGTAGGAAAACACCACTGTTAATGTAATCTACACCAATTACACCAAAATTTCAGCCGAAATTGCGTCGTTTCAAAGTGGAGATGACGTTGAAGACCCCTCAGCATTCATCAATAGCGGATTCCTCCTTTAAGCCAAGTCACATGTCGTGTAGCGAGAACATTGCGTCTACCTCATTGCGTTGGACTCTAATGAGCAACTTTTAAAAGTTGAAATAACCTCGTCGAAAGTGAAATATGGCATTTGAATAAATGCTCATTTTGTGAACAAAACGAACACAATCCTCCATGGTATTTACTCTTCTTAATCCTGTAAATGACGTGGAAATGTTAAAAATGATGTGAAACAGCACGTGTCATTTCCGCGGAGAGGATAAATCATTCTGATAATGATCAACATCTCGCCTTCGAAGGACTTATGTCACGGTTGTGGATTTTAACGAAATGCAGCCTTTTATTTCCCAATTGTCATTTCCAATCCGTTTTAATCCCCTCTCGCTCCCCTTTTTCAAACCGGCCGATCGATTGGACGTTGCATAAGTGGAATTTTATATAATATCAAAGCTGGTTCATACGTGAGATGTAATTCGCAAAGGTACTGATACGAAATAATATGGAAAACCAAGTGTTCTGGTACTATATAGTTCTAAAATCAGTTTAAAAGTACACTTAAGTGGCGGAAAAAACTGCAATAGGTTAACAAACCACAGTGACTGTCCATCAATGAAAGTTTTCAGGAGCGCATCGATAAAATTATCATTTTTGTGTGTTTGCTTCTATCATCTGCTGCTTTCATACAATGCGCATTTGGCAAGGGTTGTCAACTGAATCTGATTGTAAAATTTTCATAAAAAAACTAGCCTGAGGCTACTTAACGATATTGCACCCAGACTTGAAAAAAATTTTTGCTCATGGCAACAATTTAAGAGCAAGACGGGTTGCAAAGTTAAGAGTGAAGAATTTTTCACCTTGACGTTATAGTATTCGTAAAATCCTTCTAAAATCTTTGAACAGAGCGAATTTTGAACGCAGCATGCCGAATAAAAGAAAAGGAATCGATCTGCATTGAGCTGGTAATACTGAATTATCATAATTGCTCTTTTTTCTCTTGGGAGGAAATTATCCATTTATCTCGCGGCATAAATTTCCTAAACAAACAGCAAGTAATATTGATGTACAAAAAGTCACGAACTCTGAAATAGGAGCTTTTTTATTTCAAATTATATTACCCCCGAGTATTGACAAATTTGAGCAATTAAATAGAAAAAGAACGAGCTTAAAGCTTAAAGCGAAAGATTTCCCAATAGGTTCCTGGATCTGAGTTATTCGTAGAGAAAAAAAAGCCTGAGGGGAAATTTGGGATTTGAAAATGATAATTCTTATGAAAATGATTTACGTTAGCCACAATTATATTTCCATTGGGCGACAACCTCCTGTTGTTTCAGACGCAGCTTCGAAATGCAGTCAGCTAAGTGGAAGTACGTCAGAGGACTTTGAACAAGTAGAGTGCTCCTCGTGATATCTGTCCATTATTATATTTCGAGTTTATCAACTAGCTTTTAAGTGCTCATAAAAATTTAGTGATGTACCAGTCTTGATTTAAAAAGGAGAATGTGGGAGGCACATCTACATGCATTTAACAAGAGAGGAAGTCCAATCGTGACGTGCAATAATTATATACAACCTCACAGATATATAAAACCACTTAAACCAGCAGCTGGAACTAGCGAATAAGAATTGAATTCAGTTCATTGAATCGTAATGGCTTCAAGATCATTTTCAGGGAGTATTAAAAAAACGTTCGTCCACAGGCCTACTTGTTAAAATGGGTAGGCATACCTAACTTGGAGTTATGCGAAGGACATTATGGTTTAACAGGTAGATATAATCATTATTTACTTTGAAATCGTCCACAAGCTTTAAGCTATTCAAGATGGTTCGGACGTCGAACTTTAAAAAATGCAAATGATGCTTTTTTGTTGATAACGACCAATTTCTTACGTTGGACCACACATATTTATCTGAAGTGCTCTCTACATTTAATTCGACGCCAGCATTTCGACTTTTAAGATAACACAATTGACGCCACTTCAGCCGACACGTATTTGTTTGGTGTCGACCTATGAACTTCTGTATAAATGCGGTTCTTACGCGGGATATTTCCTTTCGATGCTTTTTCGAAAGTGTAAGAACCATGCAAACGTAAAGGCTTATGGTAGGTAAAGTAATTAAACCTTACTTCTTGTTCCGGAACATCTTGCAACTTTACTTATCCCTCTTAAATTCTAAGGCTTCTATTTTTTCCCTTAATATCATTGAAATATACTAGCTAATCACCACTAATACGTTGGCTTAATTTTTAAAGGGTTTTGCGTCAAAGTCTTTAATTTCCAAATTTTCATCTTGATCTTCAAATGAAAGCTGGAAACATTTATCGAATGGTGAGCATTCACAGAATCCAGTCTTAGTGTATCACGGCTGTTGAAACGCCTCGAACGGATTGAACTTCTTTTCATGGAAGCCTGATGATAATTTTACATTTAAAGTACTTTTAATCATTTCTTGAGCATTTCTGTTTTGTTTAAATCAAACAGAAGGAAATATTCGAGTTCAATATGGAAAGAAATTCTACCTTGGAAAACAACACTCGTGTTCATCCTGTGACAAACGTATCGAGCGAAGGTAAGAAGAATTCTGCTTAGGGTATATGACGAACGAGTTCCCGAGCTGAGCTCACTATCAGACTTAATAAGCTCGCCTAAGCTTCTTGAGGGAAGGGAGGATAAGATGCCTATCGCAAAAAACCTTGGCTCGTTGTCTCTATTTGTGTTCCACGGAACCTCGTCACACTTAGAATTTCTGAGAAAGAATCTCCCACATTTTCAGCCGTCAAGGCATCTTTCGGATTTTTTTTTAAAGAGGATATCGATTTGAGTCATAGTTGTCAAAGCATGCGATATCATCGCCTCCCTCTAAGATGACCTCCTCCCGATTACATAACCGGTGTAGACGGTCTGGCTGGACATGAACAAGTGGGCACGGGGGACTGAGGCCAACACACGCGAGTGGGAGTCATTCACGTGAAGATAGCGATCTCTCGCAACGCAAAGAAATGCAATGAAGACTACCCATAAGCGTTATCTGTTCCTTTGCAAGATTACAGCTGCCTGGCAGCCACTCTCGCTCTTAACAAAAATGTACGAGTTGTTTGATGTTTATACAATGAACAACACTTAAGCAGCAGGCCTGTACGGGATTTGAAGCCATGACCTCTGCGATACCGGTGCAGTGCTCTACCAACTGAGCTAACAAGCCAACTGGGAGCTGGCCATAATGTTGGTTCATACTGCGTTACTGCGAAGATCGCTTTCATATTCATTTCTTGACCAGCAGTTCCGTGATACATGATTTTCATGTACTCACAGTCATTTAGTTATCACTTCACGGGTATATTACTGAATTGTGTCAAGCGCTATATTTAGTACTGCTTAATTAATGTTTATTAATGCGTAGATCTTCCTTATATATTTCTTAATCGAAGTTCACATATATGATTTTCATATATTCACAGTCGAAAAGAGATAGAATGAAAAGAATTTTCATTGCAGATGATGAGCACAAGGATATGTATCAAGGATCTTTCAATCTTGTAGCAGATGTTCCTCCAATTGTCCTGGCATTTTTTATCGTAACTATTAACACCATGGTGCTACTTTTGATGGCTAAGAAAAAACATCTCCGATCGATCACTAATCTTCTGCTATGTAGCCTGGCTGTGTCTGACTTGCTCACAGGCCTGGTTGCTGTGCCAATGTTTCTCATGTGCAACCATCACATCCAATTAGCCACGTGCATCACAGAAGAAATGACGGCACGCTTCATAAGTACTTTGATTGTGTGTCATTTGATGGCCGTGACAACTGACAGGTAAACAAGCAACGTTACATTATTATCATATTCAATATTTTCTTAAATTACATTAAATTAACGACTGAACCGGAGGAAGATAAAATTATCTGTTTCCTCGATGAAGAGGCCGTTCAATGACCTGTTACATGACAAGACATGAAAGGTCATTATGCGAAAATAAATCGGAAATTTATTGCACATAGTAGCGCAAAATACTGCAACGCTAAACATGTCTCGCCACATTTACTTGATCACGCTCTGTTCACGTACAAAGGCATTCCTCAGCCAATTCGCAGATGACAGCGCACTGTTTTCCTCTGACGTCGTAGATTTTGCAATTTTGCCCACTCAGAGACTTTTGGCGATAAAACGGTTTCATTATGGAATGTCATGTGACCCTAAAGTAACCAATGAGAGCGTGCCTTTTCGGGAAAAAATCCAAACACATTGCAAATACTAGTTATACAACACTTTCCAGTGGTGCACCAAGAAATAAACCTTAAGTCACTTTGTTATTCTCCAAATATACATGAATCCTTTACGATAAACTGATTCCTAATCAAATTATCATGATGATCAACTAGTTTTATCAATTAATTTCAGATACTTAGCCATCGTTCATCCTCTGCGTTATTCCACACTGGTCACCAAGCCCAGGTGTGTTATGGTTATTCTCCTTATATGGCTATTGTCAGCGGTTACTTCATTATTGCAGTTCACCTGGCTCGACCCGATCCATCATGACCCTCACGAGGGGGAATCAGATCAGTTCAGGAAGAAAGAACTGATTTATGACATTGCGTTTCTTGCTTTGTACTTCCTCTTTCCAGTGGTTTCCATGCTTTTCTCTTATGTCAGAATCATCTTTGAGATCATCCGCCAAAGCCGAAATATTCAACGGCACAGTACGCCGGGCGTAAGTGACAGAAGAAACAGAAACCACCACGAAAGGAAAGCCATTGTAATCTTTGCCGCCATGATACTTCTTTACGTAGTTTGCTGGTTACCTTACTTTGGAATTCGAAGGTTTGACATGTCTGAGGCACCATTAATTTTATTGTATTGTATCCTCTGGCTGAGATACCTGGCGTCGTTTTTAAACCCTTGTATGTACATATTTGGCAAACAGGATTTCCGTAAGATTGCATTTGACAATTTTCGACGTCTGAGCGACATCAAACTAGAGTTGAATTTTATTTCAACTTCCAAGTTCAACATTTTGAAGGCAACCTTGGCAACATCCGGTGTTAAAAGCGAAAAAATCAATATGAAGTCCTTCCCTAAAGTTAACACCAAGAATTAAAGAATAACTCCAGGATCTTATAAAGCAGTCAGGCTTCGGAGTGTTTCTTTCAAAAGCTTAGCTGTTTGACTCTCGTAGATTTACATAATCTGGTGGTATGTACTCTATGTCTAAACTACATTGAAGCAGCCGGCAGGAGGCTCCTGCAGCCGTTAATTATGTTAGTAACTCACTGTTAGCAGAGAATTCAAAGAAGCTTCAAGAGGGTAAAAGTATGTCAGCACGACCTTCGTTGGGTAGTCTTTGAGTAAGCACACTATTTTCAAGTAGTCTTGGTTAAGTCCCTTAGTTAAGTACGTCTTTTGTCCGTCAGCAAACTAGCCCTAAGCCCTAAGATTACTTTTGGGGATACTAAAGTGTTTATTTTATAAATACTTTCCGTAATGGCGTTCGTCTGTTCAATAATAGATCAAAATTGACGTCAATATGTCTTAAGAACAGGAAAGTGGCTCTCGAGGTGCAGTCGAGTGTTTCTGATCTTCTTACCACATTTCGACGTTTTAGATTATTTATCACTGTACAAACCCACGGCAACAGGGAATCTATTTGTTTTATATGATAGATAAAAAACAACCATTTTGTCAATGGCGATGTCATCTGTGCAGATGTCTTCCGATAAATCATAAGTAAGAACTATTCAAAATGCGTGTATCATTCAGCTCATTACATAAAAATTAACCCTTTAACTTCCACCCAAGATCTCATTAGTAATTCTCCTTATTGTTTTCCAAACGACTCTCATTATGTTAGTTTGGAGAATTTGGTATTGGATCAATTAGTAATCCCATAAAAAATTGTTTTTCTTTATTCTCATCACTTAATTGCTTGATATTGTATCAATATTGTGAGGAGAAATTCTGTCTTGGTCACTTACGGGAGTTAAAGGATTAATTTAGTATACAGTTTTAATCCTTGTAAAAATAAATGAGCCAAAGTTGCAGCCAAACCGTTGATAGGATTCTGGTGTTCCATCTGAACTTGACTATGACAGACTCGTAAGGTCTTTGTAACCCATGAAGGGAAATAATTTTCGAGAAATAAAAACGTCGCGACTACATCGTGAGACAAACGAAAAAACTTAGCTTTTATTGAAATAATATTGTAGTAATTGCCCCACAAATAAGGCAAAAACTAATTGTATAGAAATTAACAAAATGAGAAGGGCCAAATAAAGGCCATTTGAGAAAATCATGGTGAAAAAGAAAGTTCTCAAAAATGTCTAGGATGTTTCAAGGGAACGAGTGATCACCTTACAAGTAATCAAATACATTTGTAATTATAAAAACATTTGTTACAACATTATAGCTCAAAATGATCAGGGAATGAAAATTCCCTTTGTTGTTGTTTTAATAAAAATTAGTGACAGTGATTGCCAAAGATTCAACATATTGTCAGTTTTGGGGGTCAGTTTATGCCAACCTTTACAGACAAGGCATATTTGAATTTTTAAGCATGATGAGTTCTTTTAGCTTATTCAAATACATTCTTACTGTTTTTCTACTTCCCTTGAAACCATCGGCAGCGAAAAAAAAAAACGGTGATTAACACTGAGAGTGACTCGCATTTAATTTCTCCTTACAACGTCACTCGTGAAACAAACTTTAAGGTCAGGAGAATATATGAGATGGTCACGAACTAAGGAAGCTCTAAATTATTAAACAAATTCTCCTTGTCAGCACCGTAGGAATAGTATAGAGAACTGTATGAGGGGTATCGAGTGGTCTTTGCGAGCATTTGCGAGCATGCCAGCAGTATGTTTATTTTTGCGAGCACGAGCAGTTGTCAAATTTTTCTTGCGAGCAGCGAGCACTTTGGGAAATACAGGTGGCGAGCAGCGAGCACTTCGAGTACTTCGTAAATTTTCCGCTGGCCGGAATCTCTCTCTCTTCTCGTTGTTTTGCGTCAAGTAATAGCTAATAATCTGGCTGACACCTTCAAAACAGAACAATAGGTGTAAGGCTAGGGCGGTTAAACCAGTCCCAATATCTTAAAGCCAACTGTGCCCTGCTTGATGTCAAATTACATCACGTAACTTCACGTGAGTCAGTTAGGGTGGAACCGCATGCGGCCCATTTGCTTGCTGTGATGGTAGAGCAAGCTTAAAACGGTAGAAATCGCCAGAATCTACAACGGACACACAGGATGTGAGTAAGTTTCATTGATTTTACGTGTGAAATGTTCCTAATGCGAAATATTTATCGTTGTAGATCGACCATATTTCGTACCCCATACTATTCCTTATAACGTGTTCAAATGTTCAACGGTTCCTCTCGTAACCTAACACCAAGTCACACAACGCGTGACGCGCTCATGAATTAATCGTTGGCTTGTTCTCGAGACGAGAGCTTGGGCCGCCTATGGGGGAACTTCAGGAGCTCTCACGGAGATCTACTAGATCCAGAGCCCGCGATCTAAAGTTTTCCATCTCCTTCTAACCCGACGCTTAAATGGAAGGTATGTTTTTTTGGTTATACAGTTCTTATGAAATGTAAATAACGTGACATTAGGTCTAACAAGCATTTCGGGCTTCGGTTTCCGATGATCGGCAAACTGGTTTCCCGCTGATTGACTGAAAAAGATTCAACGCAATGAGACTTTATTTATTTGGAGGCTTCTAGAATCTAACCAATTAAAGCTGTAAAGATCTGACAACCTCTAGTAATAGCTCTGAAGGTGAAATAGTACTAGTGATATGAGTATTTCTCTAGATTACTTTCTACCTTCGCGGGTGCCTTTTCAAGAAGAATTCTTACATTTCGTGTTTCCGTGCGACATGGAGACAGTTTCTAGACATGTCTCCTCGTTTGGCTAGGCCTTTAGGCTTTGATCAAAGTAATAAAAGCAACATTTCATTAAAGAATTTTCCTGAACCGGTGAAGCCCAAACGACGGACGGTTGTTGTTAATCGGGTTTCATATGCCACCGTTTAGCATCAGATTATAATTATTAAGTAGTTATTACTAATGGCCAGGAAGCTTCCAAGCTTGAAGAAACCGCTACAAAATGTGATCCGAGTACACTGTTTCAAAATATTATAACTCCATCCATTTTATTTCCCATTGCTCACTGGAAAATCCATCATATCTACAAACCCTGATGATTTACTCAAATAAATGGGAATTTAGATCAACAAAGGTGCGCAAGTATTGTTGTCTCCACAGGAGATTATGTCGCCTCCCGTCATGTCGAGCTTCCTCTTAACCCTATCAGAATTTCCTGGTGAAGAAACAAGTGACTAGATGAAAGATCACAATTTGCATTTGAACTTCAGAACTGTATCTCTCTCAAACAGAAATAAACGAAATGCTTGTCATGGAGCTTCGTGCGTTTCCCCGATAATACATACAGCGCCTCCAAAACAGTTACGGGCTGAACTGTTGAAGAAAGAGTGAAGCCAGAGGTTAGGATGTTTCGACCTTTTTGTTTTAACCATATCATAACTGATTTATCGTTTACATATGTATAAAAAAAAAATAACTACAAAGCAGGATTAACGAAATTTCGAGCAATTAAGCACATGTTAACGAACATGCGAGCAGTTGCAAAAATTTTGCGAGCACGAGCAAGCGAGCACCCGTGCAATTTTTGCGAGCAATTCGAGCAAAGGCCAAATTTTTCGAGCGCTTTTAAATTGAATGGGACCATTCGATACCTCTTGTAAGGAGAATATAGATACTCATGTTACGGTGTGAAAAGGTTAAATACTTTATGCCCCTTTTCATGAACTGGTGACAAAAAACTCCTACTACTTAAATTAATTCATTACTCTATTTCACTGAACGAAAAAGATAACATTTCTATGTAACGAACTTACACACTGTGACACCTTAGCCTTTAATTTCTGGAGGTGATTAACACGCAATTTCTTCCAATAATTTCCTCATCATCCCGCAAACAGGTATTGTGAATACTCAGAAGTTGTTATCTTGATTCAAAACCAAATTCTTGTAACTTATTTACAAGGAAGTGTACAGTAGCTAGAGGGAAGAATTAGCATTCAGATCTTGAGGGTTAAATGGATAACAGCTGTCGACTGTATAATTGACAAACGCGTTACGTTGTTTTAGTGTTTGCCTTAGCGGTTAGTTCTTTTGCCATTTCCGGAAATTCAAACATGTAGAAAGAAACCGCAACCCTGAAAGTCGGAAACGGAAATTCTTGTTCCACCGTTTGGCTTCTAAAGAAAGGGAAAATAAAATCTTAGAGGGAAAGCAAGGAGGTTTAATACTCGACTCAGAAGCAGTATTCAAGAAATAGAAACAAACAAATCCTTCCACTTGAATTAATTGATCCAATTGCAATTTTGATGGAAAAGATATGGGTAAGGGGACGGTGGAACTCCTTTCTAAACATAAAGATTCACAAGCTGTTTCAATCCCTACTGCTCTAATAACAAAGGAAAATACACTCAATTATCAGCCATAATAAGACCTCGATTCCATTTTCATCGTGTGCTCTCAGAACTGAAAGACTAGTTTTGACAATGGCTGTAAATATATAAAAATCGTGTATGTAAACTGTCAATTAAGAAATGAATATGAAAGCGATCTTTCAGCAAAACTACTTAAGCAGCAGTGAAAATAAGGCCTAAAAAAATTCACTGCGGTCATTGCTGCGAAGATCTCTTTCATATTCAATAGTTGTATGAGAGTTAGCAATATTTAAAAGCCACGGATAATCCGCCTCCTAATTTTGATCGAAGGCGTTGTGTTAGGACAGAGTCATAAACAGAAAGCAACATTGAGAAAAGTGATTGAATAAATTTCTGAAGCTAACACTTTTGCCATCAACTCTTATGGGAGTTTCGTGTCAGACAACCCGCGGATCAAGTTCCCCATTAGAATAGCTCCGAGTCTCCAGAGAGGTCCGTGAATCTATTCAACTAATTTGCAACGCAGATGTAAATTCGAGTTAATAGCAACATCACTCAATGCACCACCGCATATATTGTTGCGAAATTCAGTCATTCTTTATTTAGCATTTAGCATTTATCGCAGTGGTGAAGCAGTTCAAGAAATGACCTGTTCACTGATCAGCCCGGGGGAAAAATGGAGAAACTTTAAGGTAAGCGAAACTGTGAACAAGAAAAGTAATCTTCCTTGTCTCAAATCGCATGTGTTTCAAAGTTCGGAATCACAGAACTGTTTTGAAGAGCAAGCGATTAGAGTGCAAAAGCGGAATTTATTATTAACCATTAAATTAAAGTTTGTTAAAACTTGATCAAAAGGTAGACACACTGCAAGATTAGAGAAGCCAGCTAAGAGACTATACCGCACTATCGAATGCCTCTTGAAGCTTCAGTTAAAGAGCTTTCTGAACGATAAGGTTGGAACAATTATGTATTTATTGCCTTTGCTTCTCAATTTCGGAACCTATATCAGGATTATATTACTGCCGTTTGCGTTTCGATAACTTGTTCTCGCCCTTTCAGCGCTCTGTCAAAACCTTGTCGTCAGTTCGCGTTTTCTATTGCCAAATCGACCCGACTCTATTTGAAAATCTTGTTCGCGCGTGGTGTCGTGGTTATAATTCTCGTCTTAGAAATGGCAACAAAAAATCTATTTTTATTATTTTATATTTTGTTAATCAGTGGCGACGTTGCGACGGGAGTTCACCACTAAGGAGAAAGGCAGGTTTTATCGACAAATTAATCAGCCAAAATCTAGACTTTTGTGTAAAGTTATCAAAAAACTACTGCTAACGAAGTGAGGACACAGAATCAAAACATGCCAAACATGACATGTCTCGTTAAAACAATTTCCATATCTTGCATTGTCGACGTTTTACTGTAGCCCGTAATTCTCGTTAATTCAATGAAATTAACCCTTTAGGCAATCGTTCGCCACGTTAGACAAACATCCGAAGAGCAAAGAACAAACACACACAGGGAGACGAGTGATCAAAGGTGAAGATGATTAACAAACGATGTAACAATGAAACGCGCACCAGATTTGCAGAAATTATTTCAATGTCACTCAATTTTGCCCTATTTGAATATGCATGTTTAAAAATTTGTAAACAGTGCATAATTCGGTGACTCCAAAAATAGCCTTAATAAAATATTTCAGTCTAATTCATTAGAGAGGACTATATGAAGTCTAAGATTAACTCTGATTTCTTCTGCAAACAAATAACAGTTCAAAGCATAAAGCGACTAAGGTACATTAACAAAACTTGGCTCTTACCACCGTGACGAATGCACTTCGAATGAACTTCGCTTTGTAAAGACATCATTTCGTGAAGGTGTATATGAACAATGTTTACAAAACACGTTGTTGAGGAGACTTGGTGTAGGTTTTATTATTAATGGCGATTCAAAAAACGGTAATGATGTTAAAGGAAAGTTGGCTTGAAAATCGTGTCGTGTGACTTGCGGTTATTCCCGAAGGTTGTCACTTGGTAACGGATTGAATGGGCTCGCGTGGCGTGACGTTGGCCACATGGGAATATTCTGTCACGGCACATCGAGTTTTTAACTCTTTCACTCCCCAGATCTCAGTATTAATCCCTCTTACTGTCTGAGATACAATTCATATCATGTTGTTCCAGAGGATTTAGTATTGGGTCAACTTATAATCCCCTAATTGGTTTTTTCCTTTATTTTTACCGCTTCTCTTGATGTTGTATTGACATCATGAGAAAAAAATTTTTCTTGGTCACTCACGGAACTTTAAGGGTTAAAGTCTCCTTTCCATGCGATTTTGGGCTCGTCTCTTGATGTATAACCAGATGTATAAAATCTTGTTAAATCGTGGTTAATGCTCTCGCCATGGTGTAATCCAACGTGACACGCTGGCTTGATTTTGCAGAACAACCAGCAAAGATATTAAAATTCAAGCGCTTGTTTTAAGTCTTTCTGACATAGGGAAATTTTTAATGTATAGTTTCTGACAAGCAATTTGAAAAATTTCTGACAAATTAATGACCGACCTTAAATTAAAGTTCTAACTTTATCACACAAACAGAACAAATGCCTCTCCAAAATGCGAGGGAGAGGCGATTCAGAATTCATGCATGATAAAATTTTGGACTTTTGCCGAAGATTTCGACGCGAAATATAGAAGTTGATGTAGGTGTCCACGGTTCAAATTAAAATTGCAGCGGTTATTACCACCAAAAGAGAAACAAACATTGTGTTCTTCCAGTGAAATAAGCCTCAATACAGAAAATTACTCTCGCATCGCGGCCACTCTTCGAGCTTTCTACGGGTAAGGATAAACTGACCTTACAAAATAACTTTACCTGACGCTAGTTCTTTCTAGATAAATTTAAAGAACAATAATTTGCGATGTGAATCGACGGTTAAATGATAAATTTACCTAAAGTGGTCGGTGAGATGAAGCCACCTGTAAGAAAAAATTGAATATTTAGCTCTTTGGGCGCATGTGTTTTTGATATCGCGGTTCACTGCAACACAAACATTCGACTCTGAATGTTTCACCTCTGCTCAATTGTTGAACGGCGAAAATTGATTGTTCCTAATTTTTCGTTAAAAGTTCACGCATTTTAGTTAAGGTGATAACTTGATAACTTCTATTTCAACATAATGTCAACGTACATGAAAACATAACTGAAATGTTACAAGCGTTGACAGAGTCTTGTTAATTATTAATTACATGAAGGATGTATTTAGTCTTCAACCAGTCGCTCAAAAGAAACTTGCCGACAAATCAGCGTTCGTATAAAGAACATCGCACAACACAGAACCCTCAAGCAATCAGCTTTGTATGTGTCTTTCTGTTCGACGTAGATAAGATAACAACTTTCGGTTTGCTTCAGTCCTGCGGGGTTAAACGCCCTATCAACTGCTGGCTAGCATTAAGAACTGTATATAATAACTGAAATCATAACATCTGAGCTCTGTTTGGTTTACAACCTATCGTTTCTTGTACTAGTAAAACGATGACTATTTTCAAAATTCAAATAAGAACTGTATGAAATAACTGAAATCGTAATATCCGAGTTCTGTTTGGTTTACAACCTACTGTTTCTTGTACCAGTAAACCGATCACTATTTTCAAAATGCAACTGACCTCACTTACTATTGGTAAACAGGAGAATAAGCGCTCTTCGGTGGTTCTCCAAACATTACGTTCTACCGACATCCCCCGTAAATTAAAACGCAGGTTAATCAATAGAGAGTGCGGCCAGTTGTTTCAAGTTCCCTTTCTTTGTACGATGCCAAAATTCTACTTTTTCTTGTCAGACTTCCTTGCAGCCGCTTTTTTTTTTTTGTTTGTTTGTTTTAATATATTTTCTTCTTGTTGTTGTTGTTTCGGTTGTTTGTTGGGTTTTTTTTTTAAGTGAAGGCTGCTCATCAAATATCAAAGAGTAGAAAACCGCATGACTTTTCTTTTCTAGTTAAATACGAGAGGAATTAAAGCAAAATATTATTTTACTTTTCTTTACAGTTACTCCATTGAAATTAACTTTCAGTGACTCTCGCATTACCCGTCACGCATGAGGTAACGAAAGATCATCATTTTGTCAGTCCCAGGCCCTTCTCCAAAGATGAATGCCTTAACCAATAACAATGTGGTAACACTTGGAAGTCTCTTGGCTCAAGATTTACCCCAGGCCTACATACTTCCTGAAAGACCATCAACATTCAACCACAAAGCAAGTTTCGTAAACAGTAGGAGTTACCTCATCCATGACTATTCTCCTAATATGACCGCTGATCACAGATACCTGAAGGCGATGAGAGCATGCCCTGTGGCTGGTAGTGATCTTCCAATTTTACTGACATGCGCTGTTCATCCTCTTATTATCGAGGTGAGGTAACTCTGTATCGATCCATTAGAAAACAATTGGATAAGAATTCAAAAAGCAATTTGTACAAGCCAGAGGTAACAAGATAGCGCACAGGCGCCTCTACGAAATCTTAACTTACGTCGAAATTTAATTTAGGTCGAACTTTTTCACGAAAAATTTTGCAAACGGAACTTCCATCGGTCGTCTAAAGTTTAACTAAATGATATCTTATCAACCCTTTTCACCCTAACATCAGCATATATATTCTCCTTACTGTTCTTTACCTATTTACTGTGGTACTGACAAAGAGAATTTGGTTAAAAATTAGGATCTTTTAAAGTTTTCTTTCATTTCCTTAATTTTCACAAGCCTAATGTTTGATTCAGCCGTAATACCTTTATGAGAGACTAGATGCTATTCACTCTCAGGGTTTTATGGTTTTAAGGTTGCACTGCTACACTGGCAAAGTGTCTTTTTCAGTTACTCCATGAACAGACTGACAATAGTAACGAAGATTCTCTCTGTTTTTGCATTTCCTTTTCCTTTCAGCATTGGTCTAAATGGCTGCCTTTCTTTCCGAGACCCGAGATAAGAATATTCGAAAATGAAGATACTGGAAAGCGTCCTTTGGTGGTCAATTTTCCATTTCAAAGTTTTCCAGCCGAAAAACATGCCGTGGATCCCGATATCCACTACATTCTCAGCTCCAAGACCAGAATTCCAGAAATGGGAGCACCTTGCCCTCGGTACATGTCACGTGACAACTACACGCTACCTTGTATGATCAAAACTACTCAAGGGGTCGGGGGTAGGGGAGTGTTTCTTGCCCGATCAAAAGATCAAGCCCTAGAAGCTTTTCGTGAACTTAAAACGAATTTCCATTGTCATGAACCAGTCATCACTGAAGTCGTTGAGAACATTAGCGACTTTTTGAATGTCCAACTGTATCTTTTTCAAAATGGCGACGTTCACTGGTTGGGTGTTCGGCGAAAGATGGCGGGAAAATCGTTCTGCGAGCACGGTTTGGTCCCGGATGTTGATTGGAACGAGCAAGAGGACCTAAAAAAACTGGCTTGGGATGTCGTCAAACCGGTAATGAAATACCTTAATAAACATGGCTACTTCGGTTTCACGGGAGTGGAAATCTTAATAAACAACCGAGGCAAGTTCTTAATCGATGTCAATCTGAAGACTTCAGATTCGACATATTTGTTGCTGTTAGCGCCTCATATTGCGGAGACTTTGAACTTTCCTGTTTCCATTGTGTCTGATCTTCTTCCAACAAGTATTGACTCTATGCTTGAAGAAATAGACAAGTTGAATTGTGAAGATGAAGGCAGGGTGATTGTACTGTCGGGGGATGTGACATCGTTCACAAAACCTATCAAGTCTTGTATTGTTGTGTTTGCCAAGGACAAAGATACAGTATTTCTGTTGCATAGGAGGCTTATTCGCTCGTGCGCATCGCTGATTTGTAATGGTGCAGGTGATCACGACCAAAATCTGTTTTCAAATGGAAGAGTTTTGCTAAAATGATAAACATTGTTCTTTAGGAAACTGAAGAAGGGCATGTGATATCTTCGATTGTTACTCTTTTAGAAGGAGTAGCCATTCTGGCACAATTTGTCACACGGTTTAATGTAACACAATCGGCACAACGGGTTCACAAACAAATAAAAAAATAAAATTCAAAACTTCAAGAATTAAAGTTTTATTATTGAACATGAATTGTCTCATTTGATACGATAAATTTTGAATTCATTAAGAGGATAAAGAAAAAACACCTTGGTTACTAAGCAATCAATCACACGCCTTTGACATTCTCCGACTGTAGGTGAGGCTATTTATTATTTAGTGCATTGCAATTGACTGTAGTTGAGAGAACAATTTAAATTATTTCGTAGTAACTAACGCAAAGTTTTGATTCGCTGATAGCAGGCAAACTAATATCATTTATTAATTTGCAATGTGTATTGTACCGCAAATAGGATGTGCGCGCGATGTTCTTTGCTTAGCGAGTAAAAGATTGATGGTTGATGAATAACCTTCTGCGATAGTTTACAAACTAAAATAGTTTGGTAGGTCGAATATAACACTTTTGCCTGAAGTTTTTAAGTCTCTAATACAGAATCTTGAAGTGAAATGTTCAGTGAACTTCAGCCGAATTATGGCTCATAAAAACACGCGAGTTTTTTCACAAGACAAGGTAGAAAACAAACTGTTCAGGGCAAGTGTTATTAGAATGAACGACAGCCAAATTCACTGGAACATGAAGATCGCTCGGGATGACAGCGCCGCAAAACTCGGCTGCAGTGACAGATGTGACTTTCCACTCAACGCATCGGAAAGGATATCAGAGCAAGCTCTTATTTTTTCACTCGAAGGGCGGCCGATGTAGTTTCTGAGGCTTGCTGTGATGACCGGAGATCGCCATGATTAGCTAGCCGCGATAGACCTTAAGTCGCTCTGACACCGTCATGATTAGTATGAATTTTAACAGTTATGCCAGGTTATATTTTTCATCGAAACTAAAAATTATTATACAAGTGTTAGCTGTGTTTGATTTTTATTACCGTACGTAAACTCGCAATCTAACTGAGCGTGAAAACCGTTAAAAAAACTCGGACTGTCTATCTTGTTTTATCTTTGAGGATTTTTGTCTCTGCTCACGTTACAGTAACGTAAATTACTGCGCCTGGCATTTTTGCAAACCTTTGCTCGCTTGTTCCGAAATTTCACTTTCAATTAACGAAAGAAAAGCTAGAAAGAAGTCCTGGAAAAGGTCGGACATAGTACGATTTGGCAGATGGCGTAAAAGCTTTAGCTCAGTTCTATGCTCTCTACTCTCATAGAGCACGCTCTTTCAACCAATGACAGTACGTGTTATATCCGAGCTTTATTATAATATGAATTAAAAGTATATCTACGCTTCTGATTATGACATTTGAGGTTCCTATTAAAATTTATCTCCTCAATTTGTTGTGAGAAAATTAAGAAAAAACTCAGTAGTAGCCTGCGAGGTTGGCTTTGTTGTGTTTGATTTGGAGCGTTGAATAGCGAAGCTGCAAAAGGCTTAAGCATTGTCGTAGCTTCGTTGCCAGTATATTCATTAAGCGGCCACTGAACCCACCAGTAGCACAATGCATTCTGTTGGTAGCACAGATCCCTAAGAGCAACGATTAACAACATCTGAGTCTCCTACTACGGAGGAATTATTTTCGTTCGGATAAATCTAATTAAACAATAAATTTGTATTCGTAATACTTAAGCTGATGCTAATTCATATTTCATTCTGGTCGCTGGCGAAACAAAGGGTTGAGTGTGTTGAGTGTTGAGATAACTATTAAACCATTGGACGATCTAGCACATTTTCGTCGAATCTTTTGGACGACAGTCGTATGAGTTCATCAAAGTGGGGATGGTTGAACGAGACGGACTGAAACGAGTGACATTTGTACACTATGTCGAGGTTTCATTAGGAGTACAGCTGCATAAGTCTGACAACATAAAAGAGCTATTGAATTGTTTCTAAGCAATGAAAAGTCAAAAGAGAATGATCTATAAGCTCCTTTTTATTAGCTGGACTACGCCGCTGAGCAATCATTATAATTCAAGTCACGTTTTTTAATGCTGTGACAGTGTTGATTAAGTCTAGTTTACAATTTTCGATTTGGAATTAAGAGGGATGAAGGTTTTTCAAGCTACTCGATATGTTTTGGCCTTTCTAAAGCTGAAACGATCAGAATTGACCTCACAGGCGCATCTGTAGTGCAGTGTAACATCGCTAACGCAAAAGTCTCTCCTTGGTTGATGCAAAATTAATCAACTAGGAAAAGAAAGCAAGTAAGTGGAATCATAAAATATTCAACATGATTTGGCCGTGGGTAAATCTTTTTTTTTTTTGTCTAAAATTTTCGATAGCTCAGTAAAGGATCTAGCTATATAAAAATAAACGTTATAGACAATTTCTAAACTAATTTTTCAGTTTTACTTTCTACTGACAGCTTCTTATTTTTAATTTTTTTAGAGCGAAGTGTGAACCTTGTAAACAAGCACACCGACAGTAATTTCAAGGGAGGCTGTACTTTCAGGTGTGAAAAAATTAAGGTGACGCTGATTGAGGCGATAATTTGAGGGCAAGGTTAGCCAGAGACTTAAATGGGAAGGCTTAGGTGTGACATGGATTGAATATTAAGTCGATTTTCTTCCAGTTCCAAGATCGAACGCCCTCGTTTGGTCTGCTACTCATAACCAATATCCGATTAAATTATATTTGATTCAGATTTGATTTTTAAACGTTTTCTAAACAGATCAGTCCCTGGCATGAATATAAGACAACTTCTGCTTTATACTAGACTTAACATAATCCAGCGTATCGAACGAGGCAGGTTTCAAGAGTCAGCTTTGATAAGATTTCTTGTTTAGACCGCATCATGAGAGTCAGCGCTTATATCCGAAACTTAAAACATTTATTTGTGATAAATGCATAACTAACGACAAACAGACGAAATGGTACAAAAAAAGAGGAAATTTAAGCCAAGCAAGCTCTTTAGTCGAGTTTCACTATAGTTCTGTTCTTCCAAAGGAAAAGGCATGAGATGAGTTACTGCCGCTAACAAAGATAGCGAACAAAACCCGCCCTTGTGGACCTAGTTATTAATCAAAAGCCTTTTTGCGTACAATTCAGACAATATAACACTGAATCTTATTTAGCCTGTCTGGTCCAAAACACCTCACTAGTTGTCAGAAACATTTCTCTCTTCCCTGTTAATGATTTAGTTTTATAAAAACACTTACATCCTACATTGCCTGAAAGAGGATACCCCGACTTTTACCCTTTTAGGATTGTACGTTCAAAAACACTTGGAGTCTGAATGCGATTTCAAGTCTTGTTAGGTGACAGCTCTTTTAATTCAAAACAAAATGCATCCAGCTGGTGGTATTGTTCTTAGTAATTTTTAATCAATGTTGTTTATTTCCTGCTCAAGAATAGGTCCCCGTTTTAAGTAGACAATTAGAGCCGACACGTTCACCTGATTTGGTTAGTAGTTTCCTCTTGAAGTTCCAACCTTTTTACTATATTGATCAATGAATAAGTCTTCATTATTGAAATAGAAAATTTTGTTCAGTGGTAAAGCGGTTCACCTTGTTTGGTTAAGCGTGTTCTTAAAAACAGAAATATGAACAATGTAGTAGCTACAAAGCTAACAAAGCTGATTTTTAGCAAGCTTGTCGAGTGAAAATTTCGAGTTTTTTCTACTTAAGTGAGCGCTCTAAAAGTAGTTGTGCGAATATAATTAAGTCCATTATGTAGACTTGACCAAATGCGGGGGTTCTTCTACTAATGAACGGCATCTTTTAGACTTTTGAGTTATTTCCGCCGACATGAGACTGAGCTGTTTACAATCCACTCGAATCTTCAATTCTGTCAACACGGCGAAAACGTATGTTCTCTTTAGGATTACATTTTCCAAGAAACGCAGAAACTGAGAAACTTGGAAGCCTACTACATTTACTTTTAACTTTTTTTCAGTACCTTTCTGCTTGAAAAAGTATTAGCTTTGTCGAGGGAAATTCGTCTATCGTCATGTTACGTGTTACGGGTTTGTGCAGTGAGGGGCGAAAGAGGGCGGTAGAGGAAAAAGCTGTTTTTCTTGAACAAAAGGCTCATCACAGATGACGGAAAACTTGGGCTGAAATCTGAAAGACAGGCAAATAATTCATGTCTCATTTCACGTACAACGGCGAAATGTTTGAAATTAACGCGGATTCCGCTTTAAACAAATTAATGTCGGATGGGTGGACGGGACCAAAAGCTAACGCGAATGGATCGATTTTCACATCCTTTTTAGCACTTTCTCAGCGGAACTCGGCTAAGAAAATTCGTTTACGCTGCTGAGAATAATAATATCAATAATATTTATTTTGTGAAAATTCGCACAAAAGCTTGTAAAAAGAGTTTGTATGGAACGTTAGTTTAGCTGAATCGCTGGAACATCCTTAGAAAATTCTTGAGTTGAGTTAAAATGGCATTTGGTTTAAACAAATTTCCTTTTTGAAAATACTTGAGGGTAGAATGTTTTGGTAATTTTTTTTGTTTGTTATATCTTTGTTTTGTTATATTTTTTTCAATGTTTGTCATAAAAAATTAATTGAAGCCGATCTTTTGGTGAAGTAATTATGTTTTTCACGGCTGAGGTCCTGAATCAGCGCAAGCCACATACGTTCCCGAAGGAATCAATATACCAACTGAGGGTAAATAACTTCACATGGATGACTGCTGTGATAGAGCAAGCTGTTTCTTTTGAGACGACGTTACCGGGACAAACGCAGCTCTCAGCAAAACAGTAATAATTGATCTTTCTCTCTAGGACAATTCTCTACAGACTGACGTTGACATGATCTCGAACGAGAAAAGCAAGCGGTTCTCAAATTTATCATACAGTTTAATGCATGTCAGTAAAGTTGCATGAAGCAGGTTGTGAGTTATCGAAAAAACAATTCAGAGCTCGAAAAAAAAGTGTAATGATCCATAATGCAAGATTATTTGGCTTGCATTTTACGAAAATATGGAACCTTGTGAGACAGAAACTGATAAATAAGATTATAAAATGAGATTGCTAACTGCGTGACGTCTACAGCGATGTTCGAAAAATTAGCTGAGAGACCTCAGATGGGGCCTTTGGCCGAACA